AATGCTACTAGTTTGCTAATTTAAACAACTTTGTATTTTTACTAATAACAAAGTTACCAATGGTGGACACTTAATTTGGATAACCCTGTATATACCAAGATATTTAAATGACTCGACTAATTGTATGGTCACCTAAATGTTTCCCTATCGGCATACATTTTGTTTTATTAGTGTTTAATTTAAGTTTATTGACATTTAACCAATTCATAATTTTTTCAATATCACTATTTAACAGTTCTAAAGCAGTGTCACAGATATCATTTATATAAATAATAAATAGTAACGGCCCTAAGTTACCCTACTGATATATTTTGAACACTTGACATAATATTTCCAACTTTAGTTTTTTGACTTCTATTTACTGAATAATTTTGTAAAATGTGTAATACTGATCCATAGCCATAGTGACGCAATTTCATTAACAATTTTTCCCTATCTATAGTCTCAAATGCCTTTTTGAAGTCTAAAAATATTGTTATAATATATTATGTCTCATCAAAAAAATTCACGTAAACCTTCATAAGACTCATATATACATATTTTTCGTCTAGAAGATCATATAAAAAAATTTATAGCTAACGATACAGTTCTATACGATTATGTTGTATGTTTTTTGATTTGAATATGTTTTTTGGATATTTTATGGTTATTTTGGTCATATCAATCGACAAAATACTACTACGTGCAATGCATTTTTGTTAAAATAACTTAGGTATTAGTTATTGCATTCCTATTTCAGGACTGATTTCAAATCTGACGAAATCAAGAGGCTGAAATTATAAAGTGGAAGCTCAGCATTTAAATACATGTGCCTCAAGTGTAAGTATATATTGTGACTGATGGGTGCATTGAATCCATCATGTCATTGTATACAATTGCAGTAGTATACATTTTGATATCCGTGTAGACATTGTAGACAATATATACAATAGCAAGTAATACTGCCACTCATTCTGAATCAATTGTATGGTTGTTTCATTGCCCCTTGAAATTATATGGCGTTTCAAAATACAAAAAACACAGCAAAATACGGATCTGTCAATTATATGTCACTTGTCGATATGGGAAGCTTTGAAAAATCACTAGATAATCAGCTATTGTTCTACCGTGATAGATACGCGTGAAAAATAACAGTAATGTGTTGACGTTTGCGGGTAAACCTAACCTCACTTATGCTGTTCTATAATAGATAGATATATAGAACTATAGTCAACGCCAAACAAAGTGGCGTGCACGTCATCAAGGTGGGTGTGTTGAAAAATTTACATTGTTGCCAAACTTTTTGTAAAATAATAAAATTTATTATTTACATATCTAGGCTTATAAGCAATATTAACCTCAAATGAGAACAAAAATAATAGTATAATAAAATTATAGATCTGTACTTGCATAATCATTAAGTATGACAATTATTGATCAGATGACACTATGAAACTACCATATTTAATTGATAGCTTAAAGGTACTGAATAAAAATCCAAATGGGGTCCTCCAAATTTTATGCATGGTATTTCTTTTACAGAATTCATACAGAAAAATGCATTCTAAAATTAGGTAAGCTACTGGTGTAAGCTTTTTCTGTACAATAAAGTTAGTCGGAGTTTCTTTCTTCAGCGCTGTCTGAATCTGAATCTTCATCACTCTCAAAGTTGATTATTAAAGGTTCGATGTCTGGTCGATCAAAAATTCGTTCTCTTTCATACCATTTAAAAATATGGCTTCACTACCCTCAATAAACCCATTTTCATTTCCAGCATGTAATATAATGTATCTAAAATATATTAGTTTTAAATTTGATAGTGCAAATTGTGTAAAAGTACATACCTTTTACCATCTGTTTTAATAGCTTTCACGCTTTTTTGTTTTCCATTTTGCCAAGAGCGACCTATGGTCCCATTTTGAAATATCCAAGTTTCATCGAGGAAGACAAACTGGTATAAGGCCTCAACCTTGGCTTGATTGTATTGCCTTAGAAATTCCACCCTTTTCAAAGCTATACTTGGTAGTTCCATGAGCCCTCGTCGCGGATTGTCCTTAAGCCACTTAAATCCAAGATCTCTAAGCAACCGCCTTAAAGACGTGGCACTACCATCAAATAATGCCCTATCTCTTAATCGAGACCATAAAGTTTGTATCGTAACTTGTTCTTCTGAAACCATGTGTAATATGACATTATAATTTAGTTAACAAATTAATGCAAATTTCTGATAAGTTATTATAATAAGATCTTACTTTTGTGATACATATTATAGATCACTTCTCGAATGGCACTTGTATCCAATGTCGCTGTGTTGGTTACACGTTTAATATAACTCCGCTTTTTCTTGGGCGATTCTAAATTTGCATCACTTTTCACACCCTCGGAAATACGACTAACTGTCCTTAAACTAATTTTTAAAGCAGCAGCAACACGCTACAAAAAATGAAATAAAATTTCACTATTATTAATATACATTACATATAATTATTAGTAACCTACCTCTTGAACAGCATTTAAAGGCAACGAAGGCCCGTTGTTGTCCCTTTCTTGCTCAAAGTAGTGCATTAACGAGGCCACGAGTTCCTTACACCGACTATTTAACTGTTTGGGCATCTTTATATACCAAAATTGCCTTTATCTACTCGTAAAATGAATAATTTTGTTTTGAAACAAACAGTTGTTGATTTACAGTATGCGGGGCCAAAGGATTTATAAAGATTTGAAATGCCACAAATTGATTCAGTGTCAAAATTAATACAAATGTCAGTTCCCAGTTTAAATAAGTTTCAAGGTGACAATGTGTCAACGCTGCGAAATCGGTTTAGTGCGTTTACATGTCGATAAGTGATTGGAGCGTTTGCAAAACATTTTATTTCGCATAATGCGTCTAAATTTATCAGAAAGCAACTTATGTGATATTTTAATAACAATGTTTATATGACTATTAACCATAATAAGAGAGTAATGACCATTTTACAATTTATATATCACATTAATATGAAACTGCAATAGAGCAATTGTTTGTGATAGAAACCTAGGCATTAGGTCGGGGAATTTTTATCGTGATGACGTGCACGCCACTTTGTTTGGCGTTGACTATATACGCGTAAACGTATGTGGTTGCGTATTGTTAATGATGTGATTTCAATGGAAGAAATCAATTTTATTAAGGTTAATGGTCAATTATTATCAGAGACGACCAGTAAGTACAAATATGTCATGGAAAGGAATGAAGTGATTTTATATTATTTCAAGAAATTAAAAGAATGGTTAGGAATTGTAATGTAATTTATCACAACAATTATAATATTGATACAATAAAAATATCAAATTTACAAAAATATATATTACACAATAAACAGTTGTTTCTCATCTGCATCCTTTAAGTAGTTATGTTTCTGTTCCTCGAACAATTCTTTCAGTTTATCCACAAATAGTTTGTGGTACTCATCAACTTGCTCCCTAGTCGGGTTTTCTATCTTTGGTAAGTCGATCGGCCTACCAACTGTAATAATAAACTATAATCAGCAATTTCAAAAGGAAACTTATGTTAAATTTGATTCTGAGGCAGTGGACGTCTAACTAGCCAACGGAAATTGCAGCAGGATCAGATGCGGTAGCGAATCTTTATATCTTGATATACATTTCTGTTAGTAGCGGTTTCACTGAAGTCGAGGCTTGTTTCAAAAATACCAAACTTATTGTGTTTTAGATTGGATGACCAAATACTTACCTACTGTCACAACTTCTCTCCTTCTAGGAATTATTCCAAAAGAATATTGAAAGAATCCTCTTCCGATAGGAATGACGGGTGCTAAACCGATATATTTTCTTAAAAATTCTTGAATATTCCTCAGTCTTTGACCCTCCAGCTGGTCAAAAAGATCAATTTCGCCGAAATTAAATACAGGTACAAGTGGCGATCCAGTGGTTAGTGCCAATCTTACAAAGCCTTTTCTGCTATTAAGTACCACCCTAGAAATTATAAAAACAGGTGTTGAAAAAGTGTTTGAAGAAATTATTTACGAATTTATCGAGGGAAATAAAATTTTAACCAAATTTCAAGCCGGATTCAGGAAGAAACACCCAACTGAAACGGCAATGCAAATAGTTTTAGAGGACGGGAGGAGATGTATGGACAATAGGAAACACGCAGTGACAGTGTTTTTGAACTTTTTTGAAAGTACTGACAGGGAATTACGTATAAAATTCATCACTACGGATCTAAAGGATCTGTATTCAAAATTCTACAAAACTACTTAACATAAGTCAAAAAAACAAACTTGCATCTATATTATCAAGCTCAAAAAATATTTGTGCTGGTGTACCACAAGGTAATAAACTAGGTCCACTACTGTTTATTTTCTACATTAATGATATTTGTAATATTTTAGATTGTAAAATTCATATATTTGCAGATGATACATTAATATATACTAAGTGATATATAAATTCGAACACCCAGTTTAAATGGTTTTATTTTAATAAAATTTTGTATAAGTACTTAATGAAGCATAATAAGTAAATGATAAAAATTTCAAACTGATTGCACTGCTTTAAATCCCTTTGACCTTTAATAATGTGTGGATGCACCCTGATGTGCTACGCATTCTCCAACGCGCCTAGGCATGCTTCTGATCAGGTGGTCACTGTCCTCCTGTGGTATCACATTCCAGGCAACCACCAACTCCTCTCGAAGTGCTTCTAGAGTCTGAGGAGGATGTTGCAAATTGAGCAATCTCCTACGCATCATATCCCACACGTGCTCAATTGGGGATAAGTCGGGAGATCTTGGTGGCCATGGTAACAATGTGACATCATTATGTTGAAAGAAGTCTAGTGTGACTCTTGCAACATGTGGTCGGGCATTATCTTGTTGGAAAGTTGGATCTGCCAGGGTGTCAAGATAGGGTAAAAGATGGGGTTCTAGAACTTCGTGGATATAACGCTGCGCGTTCATGTTACCTCTGATGAAGATTAAAGGTGACCTGGAACCATAAGCTATAGCACCCCAAACCATAACTCCAACAGTGTGATGAACATGTCTTTCAACAAAAAACTTTGGATTCCTCCTTTCACCACGTCGCCTTCTAACCCTGGCACGACCATCGTGCATGCCTAAACAAAATCGAGACTCGTCACTAAAGACAATACTGTTCCATTCCTGATCCCAGAGTGATCGTTGTCTGCACCACTCAAGGCGATTACGTCGGTGTTCTCGAGTTAAAGGGAGGACCCAGTGTGGCCGGTATGAAAACAAGCCAAAACTTCTCATTCGTCGGTAAACACTTCGCATGCCAATAGGTCTTCCGTGTTCTGCAAACCATTTATTTGCAGTGGACCTGGTAGTGGAGAAACGGTCCCTTTAGACCAATAATCTTAGCCTGACAACACCTAACCACAGTGTCTACACTTCTTTGCACTCTAACTGCAATTGCCCGAAAAGAAAGTCCAGCTTCCCGAAGTCCCACTATACGGCCCCTATCAAACTCACTAAGTTGACGAAATCGTACAGGTCTCCGTACTCTAGGCATCGTAACCGATCGTAAAGGATGTCAAGAACCAAAATCCGCCAACGTTGATTCTTTACTGCGGCTGAAATATTCATTTTCAGAGCGTTAGTGAATTAAAAAAAAGCAGTATAAAAACCGGAATGTCCTACTGATAAGGCTGAACATTTTTTCACTTGTTATTTACAGTAAGATAAATACATTCACCAACTTTTATTAAAATAAAACCATTTAAACTGACTGTTCGGATTTATATGTCACTTAGTATACATATCAGATGAAAATATAGACATTAAAAATGATATCTCCTGCTAAGGAGTTAACTTGATATCTGTGGAGGCCATATGACGTGACAATAATGCGTTCTAACCTTGTAAGATCTTAACAAAAACATGAACACAAATACAGGATTGCATAACCGTACGTGGGAGAGCTGGATAATTTTAATACTTCTCAAATTAGTCTAATCATATTAGCAAATTTTCCCGAAATAATTGTAAAGTATGGTTTTATTGATGAAAGTTGTTCAAGGGGGTATTTTAAACAAGGACTCTTCTCAGTCTTTTTTGGGATTCAATCGAAAGTGTTGCTAAGAACATAAAAACTCTTAATAAGATTTTTAGGAATTTACGAGACCTACAAAATGAGATCACACATGACAAGATACAACTAACAGCAAAAAAGTTATGGCCGAAAACATAGTCAAATTAGATACTTGAAATTTCTCACATCCGTAAGCTTTATACTGCTTAATAATCACAACAAAATTGGAGTCGACTGATCAATTAGTTTTTGAGAATTTCTAATTGTTTATCCCAAAATATCTGTTTTCCGGCCTTCACTACTAGTTTATTGAACAATATACAAGGTTCGTTCAAAGGGCGTTTTATAGCAAAATACAAGAGCTTACCTCGCCGATATGAATCACAACCCAGTTCGAAAAATTAATGTTATTTTTATGCGAAAAACAAAGAGTTTTTTCTTATCCACAAATTTCGTATTTGTGAGTGACTGGACAGATGCACTTCGATATTCGAAAGACACGTTATTATAAACATTTTAAAACAAAGCGGATGTGTCTATCACCTTTTGTTGCGAAGAAAAACAATTTTGTCTTCATACTATTGTGTATACATTTAGAGCCTTAAAGTTTAAAAAAAATTAGACTGCAATGCACTGAACTGTTTACTACATTATTGAAGGCTGCATAACTTTGTCAAATTAGTAGGTCATGTAATCCAGTTTCCTTTCTACGAAATATAATTCGCTGGACCTTTTTCCTAAAAGTTTGAATATGGTATACGTCTGTTTTTGAAATCTAGTACCATTAACACTATTGCGAGTTGAAAGGGTTGAAACATAAACTCAAGAAAACGAAGAAACAGTAGAGACAAATATCATCCAATTGTAGCGAACTGACCGCATGAAAAATCAAGCAAAATGCTCCTTATTAAGGTGGATTCTCACTATACATTCCGTTTCCATTCCGTTAATTATTGAAATTAAATATTCGCCTTCGCTTAAAGCAGGCTATTGCGTGTGTATGCACATCATCCGTAAGGTATACTGTGTATACAATCAAATTGTACTGAACGTTTACGAAACTGATATGGAATGGAAACGGAATGTATAGCGAGAATCGACCTTTACTCCTCAGTACATTGTTTGAAGTTTTCGCATTGTTCCTTGTTTGCTTTCAAGATTCTAATTGTTTATAACAGATCTGATGCACCGTCAACGTTTGCTTGACATACAGTAATGGACAAAAGTATATAGACAAATTAATATTGTGGTGTATTTCTTTTTTAAATTCTTTTATTCAAACATCAACCTGTATACATAATTCGTTATAGCATAATACTTATACATAAATAAATTCATTAGACTCCCTTCAATACAAAATTAATTGAAAAAAACTGGAACTATGAAGGACAAAAATATAGAGACAAAGCAAAACAATTATAGTATAGTATTGAAAGAATCCAAATAAAATTTCTTAAGAGAATAGGGCTAAAGCTTGGCATTCCTTCTGATGACATTAATTGTCAGGACCTAATGATTCTACTGAACTTAACGCCACTTGGAAACAGAAGAGATATGTTTGATATTTGCACACTTTTTAAGATCATTAACAATCAAATTAATGCACCTGATCTCCTTGCTCTGGTTGGTTTTCATATACCGTCAAGGGAGTCAAGAAGTAAGTCATTATTTCATATTCCATATCATAGGACATATTATGGTGTGAATTCTCCTATAACTCGAATGTGTATGAAAGGAAATAGTGTAGTGCAGAAGTGCAATAAAATTGACTTCTTCAATGATGGTTTTAGGATTTTTGCGAATAAAGTGAGAAATGTAGTACAGTAATAATTGGTCTTGTTGTATCTAGTAGTGTTTAAGATTGTAGACCGCCCTCTTGTGATCATGCACCATTAATGATTTTATATTTTGTATTGTTATTTATATTTAAATGCTATATGCATTAATAAAGAATTTCTAATTTCTAATGTTGAAAAGAATTTGTCTACATATTTTTGACCCCTGACTTGAGTGTGTTCATTGCAGATAATGTAAAAACAAGGAATTTAGTTTTTCAACTAATAACGCATTTCTTTATGGAGCAATGAAGTATGAATTCGTTTTCTAAAGGTATTTAGGTAAATATTCATATTTGTCTATATACTTTTGTCCATTACTGTATCTCACGGTTAAGTATACTCGTAGTATAAAGATGCAGTAGACCAAGAGACGCCGTGGAGTAGTGGAAACGATAAAGGGTTACAGAACCGAAGGGCCCAACTTCCTTTTCTTACTTATTTTTTTTTTAAATTCGGTAAAAAAATGCTTTTCCACATTATGTGTACTTTTATTGTGAAAACAGCTTCTATCACGCTACAGAAAATGTAAGTTTACAAATAAGAAATCGGCGATATACGTATGACTATTTATAATTTTTTTTACATTACTTTGATAAAATTTGAGAAACACTACTAGCATCGATAAAACCAAACTTTACAATTATTTCGCAAAACCGAGGAGATTTCGTCTTATATGAATAATCAGAAAGATGCTATACTATCACTATCTAAAACTGTAATGACTCATCGATGTTCACGTGAACATCACTTAACTACCAGTAGTCGGCTGTTCATAGGCGGGGTATGAATGTTTAACATGGGTGAACTAGATTTGTCACATGCTTAATAAAGAGTGGTTTGAAACATATTGTAAGTCAAAAATTTGGGAATTACCTTTATTCATCGTCGCTTCCACTTACATCTGACAGTAATAAACTATCGCTTTCCTCGTTGAAATTGACTATAACTGGCTCTATGATGGTGTCGATGTGGTGGTCAAGCTGCCACATTTTTGTTTCTTCCTTCACAACATGACGGATAGCATTCTGCCAAGCTTCGGGCGTTACTAGCTGTATGGAAGTCTCAAGTAAAACCTTAACGTCTGGTAATTTGAAGGTTGTGTTATGGCGCGCAATATAACCCTTCACTTGAGCCCAGATGAGCTCTATTGGGTTCAGTTCACAGTGGTAGGGCGATAACCGCAGCACAGTGGCACCACATTGACGGGCCATCTCATCAGTCACGTAACTAATGTTCGCAGGTTTATGCTGTTTAATTTTTTCATACAATTCCGCTTTCACACATGAATCGTCAAACGGGATTCCTTTTTCGCGCAACCATTGCTGCATGTCACTTTTTCGAGATCCCATAGTCGGTACACGTTCGGCTCGACGACTATGGTAGGAAGCATTATCCATGACGATCACAGAGTTGGGCTCAACTCGCTGAAGCACCCCTTGAAACCAGCTCTCGAAGCAGCTGGCATTCATTTCGTCATGGTAATCACCTCCTTTCTTAGAGACGAAAATCAAGTCACACTCTTCTAAAAAGCCACTATCGCTACCAATATGAGTTACGATCAATCTTTGACCTTTCCCTGACGGTCCACGAAGACCTGTTGACAAACCTTCAATGCTTGCTTGTCGGTTACTCACTACGTTTTTGTCTATCCAGGTTTTTTTAACTGTGTGACCTGCATTTACCCATGTCTCGTCCAAATGATAGATTTTTCTGCTTTGTCGCCTATATTCAATCATTTCGCGTAGGTATTTTCGACGCCAGGCGACTATTTCAGGTCTCTCTATCAATACTGACTTCCGATTACGCGTTTCGTAACGAAAATTAATTTCGTGCAGGGATTTCCTCATTACCTCGACGCTCATTTTGGGTATAATTTCATTTTCCTTGCATGTACAGCCTTGAGGGTTGATATCTCATTCCTAAAGAAGGATGAATGTACGGTTCGTCTTAACGCCATTTTGCTATCGTCATCCAATTTAACGGCCTTTCGTCCCTTCAAATTAAACTTTGGATCAGTAGTAGCTCCAGTTTTCTTCTTTTATGCACCACCCTGCGAATGGTCCACTCTGGAACGCCTGTCATACTTTCACAACGCGCGAGTGCATCTCCCTGCCACATAGTTCTGTTCAGATAATTGAACACGTTGAGCACGATTTCTTTCGCGTCCCTCTTCAGTGCTTTACGAAGCCGTCTACTTGTTCCCTGGCTTTCAGTACTTCCACTCGTGCCATTTGTACCCTCCATGGTTAAGTATAACCAAAACAGTAACCACAGAAACCACAACAATAACAATCACACAACAATTCTTATAAAAACACACTATATGCGATCGCTCAACGAAACACGTTCCAATGCGTTGCCGACGCCTATGAGTCTGCCCGTCGAGGCGCGTCTTTGATTTCATTGGTTCTACCGGCGGAGAACAATCAGCCATTATTTCCATCTCTGTCTGTGCTGTTGACCACCGCAGAGCCACTGAAACGACATATGTCGTACGCTATACGGCTGTACTGGAAGGAAGCCGGGATCGAGCTCTGATCACGTGTTGATCACGCGTATGAGTCATTACAGTTTTAAATAGCTGTAGTATAGCAAATAAAGTTTTCCTACCTGTAATGACCGGGTTTACAAAAATAAGCCTCTGCAGCTCCTCCTACCATTAGGATACAAGCATGGCCGCCTTCTGGTCTACTCAGAAGATAGCCTATAGACTTTGCTGAAGCCGCAATACCAGATAGAGACATCGCCAACTCCCTGAAAGTGAATTTCAAAAATGCACTACTACAGGGTTTGTCCGGAAAGTAATAGAACCATGACTGTACTTCGGAGCGTGCGCGTAACGACTGGATTCGGTAGAGGGCGTTCCTAGCTAACGAATGAGCGGCTGGTCAGTTGTCTCCGAGCACTTGGAGAGTCAGTACAGGCATTTTCGCGCGACGTGTTTCTGTGAGTGGTGCAAGCTGAAAATGCAGCGTTTGTTAGGGCAGAGGTACGCGATTAAATTATATGTGAAACTCGGTAAATCTGCGACAGAGACGTTTGATATGATCAAGCAGGCTTACCCAGGTGTTGCTTTAGCAAGAAGTGGTGTGTTTCGGTGGCACCAGGCCTCTTTGGAGGGCCGGGAAGAGGTCGCTGATGAAGACCGTGCTGGAAGACCTTCTGCTTCGACAAACACCGTTAACGTGACTCGTGTGCGCAAAGTTTCGAACTCAGACCGTCGACTAAGTATTCGTTTAATTGCCCAGATGTTAAATTTACCAAAATCTGTGGTTCATGACATTGTGACACAGCATTTGAAGGTGTGTGCGAAGATGGTCTGAAAAGTGCTCACTGACGACCAGAAATTGCGGCGAGTGGAAGTGTGCCAAGAAATTTTGAGCATGTGTGAAAGTAACCCCCAATTTTTGAATAACGTAATCACAGGTGACGAGTCGTGGATCTTTGAGTATGATCCCGAGACAAAGAGGCAATCTTCCGAGTGGCACACGACGGCGTCTCCTCGCCCAAAAAAGGGAAGAATGAGCAAATCCAAAGTTTAAACGATGCTCATTGTCTCTTTTGACATCAAAGGCATCGTCCAACATGAATTTGTTCCTCCTGGACAAACCGTCAACGCCAAGTTTTACGTGGAAGTGCTCAGGAGACTCAAACGAAGGGTCAGTCGGGTCCGACAAGACATCGCAGCCGACTGGAAGTTGCACCACGACAACGCCCCGGCTCACACCGCCTTTTTTGTGAACAGCTACCTGACCAAGGCCGGCATCTCAACGCTTCCGCAGCCGCCCTACGGCCCAGATGTGGCCCCCCTGACTTTTTTTTGCTTCCTCGCCTGAAAAGGCCGATGAAAGGCAAGCATTTTGAGACGACAGAGCGGATCCAAGCAGCATGCACCGCGGCTATCATGGCTATTCCGGAGAATGCCTTCCGTGACGCCTTCAATGCTTGGAAATCGCGCTGGCAGCGCTGCATCGACGCAGAAGGAGCCTATTTTGAAAGTTTTTAAAGAATTGTAACGATTGGCTCAATAAATTTTTTTAAATCGACTCAGTCCTATTACTTTCCGGACAAACCCTGTATAGTATTGAAAAATCTCAGTACTCTGATAACACTGGTCAACACTGGTTTTGCCACACGAACTTTGACAGCTAATTTTGTTTTATCAGTCTACCCTCATTATTACATGACAGCTGTCATATGTCTATTAGCCTCATATTTGTTGTGATACGGTAATACTCATAACTAGTACTACGGCAGTAAATTAACAGAAACGCTTACAAGTAAATCCTTATAAAAATATTTGTTGTTGAATTTGAACACTTTTTTGTGATTTATTAACCCTGTGAATATGCCGAGGAAGTGTAATAATGATCCTAACTCTTTTTGTTATGTCTGCGGAGAACTAACATTCAAAAACAACGACGAAATTTTACGAATCTTGTGTTGGAGTGTTATCACCAATGTTTTGGTTTTTCTGTCGCCCATCAAGACAAATCCTGGGCCCCTCATGTCTGTTGCATAACGTGTGTGAAAAATTTAACTGACTGGAAGAAAGGTGCACGACATATGCCGTTTGCTGTACCCATGATATGGACTGAACAGCGAGATCACGTTTCAGATTGCTATTTTTGTCTCACAGACATAAAAGGTATAAATCACAAGAAAAAAACCACAGTTATTTACCCTAACTTATCTTCGGCTATAAGACCAGTCTCTCATTGTAAAAAATTGCCAGAACTAATACCAGTTGCAACTACGTCTGTTGAGAACAATTCACAACCGTCCACTTCAGGTGAATGTGTTGACGAGGACGATGACTTTGAGTTAAAAGGAATTGTAAACGAGCCACATTTGATAACTCAAGGAGACCTGATGATTTGGTTCGGGATTTAAATTTGTCAAAAAAGCAGTCAGAACTATTCGGATCACGTCTAAAAGAATGGAATTTGCTACATCATAACACAAAAGTTAGCTATTTTCGAAACCGTGATCAACACTTCAGAACGTATTTTTCTCAGGATGGAGATTTGGTGTTTTGCAATAACATAAATGACATTATGAAAATGTTGGACATAGATTTTGATCTCTCTCAGTGGCGTTTATTCATTGATTCTTCGAAAGCAAGTCTAAAAGCAGTGTTATTGCATAATGGAAATAAGCTTCCGTCTGTACCTCTGGCCCATGCTGCAAATATGAAAGAAACCTATGAAAATATGAAACTTTTACTTGAAAAAATAAATTACAGTACATATTCCTTCAACATCTGCGGTGATCTTAAAGTTGTTGCACTATTACTTGGACTCCAGCTGGGTTATACAAAGTTTTGCTGCTTTTTATGTGAATGGGATAGCCGAGACAGAACTAATCACTATATAAAAAAACATGGCCTACGCGTGCATCGTTAGTTCCTGGGCAAAAAAACGTAAAGTATTTACCCCTTGTACAGCCAAATAATGTGCTTCTACCACCATTGCATATCAAATTAGGATTAATAAAAAATTTTGTGAAGGCAATGGATCGCAATGGGAGTGGATTTTTGTATCTAAAAGAAAAATTCCCTAAAATAAGTGATGCAAAGATAAAAGAGGGTATTTTTGTTGGCCCTCAAATTAGGGAGTTAATAAAAGATTCAAGATTTGAAGAAAAATTAAGCGATTTAGAAACATCTGCATGGAAGGCTTTTAAAAATGTTGTTTCAAATTTTTTGGGCAACCACAAGAGTGACAGCTACAGAGAGTTGGTTAGCGAGCTATTATTGTCATATCAAGCATTGGGTTGCAACATGTCACTTAAGATGCATTTTTTAGACTCGCACCTGGTTTTTTTTCCTGACAATTTAGGGGCTGTCAGCGACGAGCACGGTGAGAGGTTCCATCAGGACATTTCTAATATGGAAAAGCGGTACCAGGGCAAATGGAGCCCAAATATGTTAGCAGATTACTGTTGGACAATTAAAAGGTACCAACTAGAAGCTAAATATTCAAGAAAATCTTAGATTATTAAGTCATTTATTAAAAAAGATAACTTTTGATTTACGAGATCTGTGTTTTTTCTTAATATTTTAAATTACTCAATAGAATAAAATCCTTGTCTAGCAAATTTTTTTTAACTGTTTATTTTTTCTGACAATCACCAATTAAAGTAAAAAATATCAAAAAAGTCCGTGTGGCAAGACAAAGTTAAAATTTTGTTGACCAGTGTAATCATTCGATTCACCTGTCTTTTTGATAAATTTCATTAAGGATGAACCATTCTAGTGACAAACAATCTAAACAGTACCATGGCGTGAATAAGAGACAGGTTATGGAAGATTACGAGAAAATCTGAAATACGAGGGCCGTCCGTTAAGTACTTATCCTCGCCGCCCGAGATGGCGCCACTATCGCAAGAGAAATTTACTATAGTGTAGAACATTATCGCAAACGGCTACTGTTAGAGTTTCAGTTGACTCGGAATCGTAATTTTGTTTTGACCGCGTGTGGAAGCGGGCGTGTCCGCGGATTTTAGAAAAAAGGAAATCAAGCACTATGCCGAATTATTGACAACGCACCGGCTCACACATCCACCGTCGCCAAGGCCAAATTGGTCGATTTAGGCTACGAATTGCTGCCCCATCCACCGTATTCTCCAGATTTGGCCCCGTGCGACTTCTTTTTGATCCCAAACTTGAAAAAGTCACTCGCCGGGCAGAAGTTCGAGTCGAATGAGGAGGTTATCGCAGACCTCCAGAAAAAGTATCAGACTGGTTAAAGAAGTTGGAACATCGCTGGGTCAAGTGTATCGAGCTGAAAGGAGACTACGAGGGTAGTCCCAGAAGTACCCGATCCAACGAAGAAAACAAACTTTTTGTAAAAAAATGTATTTATTTTTGAACATAATCTCCTTTGAGCTCTATACACTTTTCCCAGCGATGTTCAATAAGTTCGATACCCTTTTTATAATAAGAACTGTTTTGCTCCTCAAAATAGCCATTCACTGCCGACATCACTTCTTCATAGTTGGAAAATCTTTGACCACTGAGCCATTTTTTCAAGTTTGGAAACAGAAAATAATCCGAGGGGGCTAAATCTGGTGAATAAGGTGCTTGAGGTAGCAATTCAAACTTTAATTCGTTAATTTTGGCCATTGCAATAACGGATTTGTGAGCTGGTGCATTGTCTTGATGAAACAACACTTTCTTCTTAAAGAAATGCAGCCGTTTTTGCTTGATTTCATCGCTCAAATGTTGCAATAAGTTCGCATAATACTCGCCGTTCACAGTTTTACCTTTTTCAAGATAGTCAATGAAAATTATCCCACGCGCATCCCAAAAAATCAACGCCATAACCTTGCCTGCAGATGAAACGGCCTTCGCCTTTTTTGGAGCCGGTTGTCTCTTTTGAGTCAATTGTTTTGATTGTTCTTTCGTCTCGGGTGTGAAGTGCTAGCTCGCGCACTTTCAGTCGAAGATCATTCAGTACCGCTTTGTGAATTTTCTTCACCATTTCTGGAGTTGTCGCCTCATTTGGTCGACCACTGCGATGCTCGTCTTGGCAGCTCATACAGCCTCGTTTAAACTCTGCTACCCAATATTTTACGGTTGTAAACGGAGGAGCAGACTCACCCAGGGTAGAATCCAGTTCAGCTTTTATATTGATTGGGCTGAGGCCTTTGAAACAAAAGTATTGTACCACATAACAATGATCAATTTTCTCCATTTTCACAAATTCACTGAAAAGGTTCAGTATTGATTGCTGCCAAACAAATACTAAACAACGTGGCGTCTCTGACACATATGCTTTATAGGTTGCATACTTTCTAATACAATGATGTTTCTCAAACAACTATCGCCATCTCTAGGTCAGGCCGGGTACTTCTGGGACCACCCTCGTATGTTGAGAAATAAATCGCCACTTTGCCAACATTTTCGTTCTTCTTTTGTAGGCTAAATACCTATCGTACCGCCCTCGTATGTTGCATTAAATGTCATTAACACGTTGACTGCCAACTACGAGGTAACTCGTAAGCTGTTTACCTGCTCACTAAGCCAACTACAAGTTATCTCGCAGTTGGCTATGATTAATTAGATTGAGTTTTGGGATCGGAATTCTTGAATTTGCCATGGCAGTCAACGTGTTAAAGATAGTGTCTGAAAAAAATCAACATTACAAGTTCTTTCAACAACATATGAATACTACGCTTTAGCTTTATCTGACCAATCCTGATGAGATCCTTAGTGACTTCCTTGACGCGTAATTTCACCTTGAGGGAAATTGCAATTGAAAAGAAAATGTTTACCTGAATAATGGCATGTAATAGTGTTGGGAGAGAGTAACGATTCTCGGTTCGTGATGTGGAAAGTAACTTCTATATTCACTATATTCTGTACCAAAAGCATTGAACGCTCCACAGGATAGCATGCCATGCGGGAAACTGCAGAATAGATAATTCTTCTTGGGGTCTAATTCAACAAAAGGAACTTTCTCGAAGCGTAGAGGGTAGTAATCTCTATTGTATTTCCACCATCTCCAAGATCTAAAAAATAAAAATCGCTAAATCATTCAAGATAGTCCAGGCATTGCTGAATGTTCATCCATTAAGATGTACAAGTTAGTTTATTTGAATCCACGAAGTCTTTATACAACAAATGGGGGTGCAACCTTTTCATTGGGCCACCATGTATGTAAGTTGGAAACGATTACAAATAATAAGGATGTCCAATAGGAAAGTTCACTTTTTGATTTAAGAAAAAAAAATACAAACTAATGTAAAGAAAATATTTATTACAATCAACGTATTCGCTTATTTCTCGTGGAGTGTTATCTTTAAGCTCCTCCAGTTTTCGTGGAATACACTTTTGACTTTAGATAAGTCCACAAAAAATAATACCTTCGCAACAAATCTGTCGGTGTACAATGTATTTCAAAATTCTCACCTAACCCATTTGAAAGGTCTTCCACCTCTTTCACAAATGTCTCTGTCGATGTATGCCCACACAACATATATGCAGGCCAACCACCATAGTTTTGTAAACAAGAGTAAATATAAAAGTAGCGAGAATCCTATTATGCCTCCAAATGTCATCGTTACCATCCATGCTGCCGCAGCTAGTGTTTGTAACCGCCTTTCCAGAGGTACATTTAACGGAGCAAACTTGATACCAAAAATCTCCATCTGCAGAAGAAACAAAATCTTATTCGTCCAATAGGCATTATTTTTTTAATTTTCTAACGACTATTTACGTAAATATAATAGTATAAACATAACATACTAAATGATTTAGAAAATGCAACACCGACTAGGAGTGTCTTTGACGTCTAGTACTTCTAAATCGTCGATTTCGACCTTCTTGGAACCAATATTTTTGGGTGTTGCATTTTATATGTCACTTAGTGTATACAGGGTGACTTCGAAGTTGAGTCATTTATTTTAACAGTGAGTATATCTGATCAAAAGAAATGTTTTTAAAATTTTTGTGGTAAAATTAAAGTAACAAAGTTATAGCCCTTTAGAAGTTTGAGTACCGCCCTGTCTCAATAATAATATTATGTGCTCGTGTTTGGCAACAACGTATATAATCCGCCGTATCGGTTCATCGCATCGGAAACAAAAAAGCGAAAGAATTTTTTTGGTTGGGTTACCGTTGAGTTCGTAGAGGGGGGGGGACGGGGATCATCACCCGCCCTTTCTTGACTCGCCCGGGCTATAGCCCTTTTAGCCCCTGGGTAAATACGGAATATTATGTACGCGTACTTTAGTGAATAGTTACAAAGAGCAATTTTTTTGAGAAAGGTTCAAAACACTACCCAGAGCAAAAAAACAATTTTTGTTTAAACCGTCCCGCAAACACTTGATTCATATTAAAGGCATCTGAAAAACGGGGTTATGAAAAAAAAAATTGTCACAACAATGCGAAATCTTAGTCTGGTCTAGAAGTATGAGATAAGATAAGATTTAGGCAGCAGCAGTGGCCGCAGTAGTAGACTCTTCTTTTGGCTATGGATGTTGTGATTGTCCGTAGGTGGTAGACGGTCTCTGACTGTCGAACGCGGAGGTACCACCCGGCGGATCTCGTGTGGAGTTCCCCATTTCCCTTGTATCCTTCTCTAGCCCCACGGTACCCCATGGGTGTTTAGGCCTTAGGCCTTCGTGGTGGTTGGAGTATAAAAAAAGATAAGAGCTTAAATGTTGAGATTTGTGTAACAAAAGGCGTTACAAAGCTGAATCAAAGACCTAAAAATCGTTCAGTAACGTGGTACAAAGTCACGGTTTTGAGAAAAATGAACTATTTAGTTTAATATTGTGAAATTTGAGGAAAAGTGCCTAGAATGCAGCTTTTATATTACTCCAAGGCGAATGAAAATATATAACAAGGCTTAATATAAATGTCAACCATAAAGATGTTGTATTCATCAATCACGTTGGTTGTACATACTGTTTTAGCTATTTCAGTAGTTACAGATCTTCACTGTATACATAGACATGCGTATCGGATACTTACACCAATGTTTCATACACAACTGGAAATTATTTTTTCACAGCGATCAAATTTTTATCAGGTTTGATTGTTATAAATCTGCAGCCATGTTTTACCAAAATTAATCGAAAATCGAACCAAATATAAATGTCGTACGATATTACTTATCTTTCTGTTATACAACTCAGATAAATAAATTCATGATATCACAAAAATATACCTGTCTGACGAAGACTCCTTTCTAACCTCAATATCTCAAAAAAAGTTGAATTCAGGCATGGAATTAATAAAAATGTTTAAAATCATCAGGAGAATCTCAAAACATAACAATAAAAAGGATTTTCCATTAAAAATTTTTTGGCCTGCTTTTACTTTTTGCTGTATAACAAAAAATATTTTTATAGTTGAAGTTGAGTCATTTATTTTAACAGTGAGTAGAACTGATCAAAACAAATGTTTTTTTCCTTTAACATTTTTCTGGTAAAATTAAAGTAACAAAGTTATAGCCCTTTAGCAGTTTGAGTACCGCCCTGTCTCAATAATAATATTATGTGCTCGTGTTTGGCAACAACGGATATAATCCGCCTTATCGGTTCATCGCATCGGAAACAAAAAAGCGAAAGAATTTGAAACGTTTATCACGATGTTTTTCGTCAGTCGGTAACGCGTGAGTGAATAGTGGTGTTTGTTGCGTTTCTCAAACGAAATAAAAAATGGCACATGTTTACGAAAATGCAAAGGGCTCGTGAATCAGGTGACTTAAGACCTCACAGGGAAGAGCATGCCGGTGCTCCAAGACCGCACGATCAAATACAGGTCCGCATTGAAATACTTGTCGGGAGGATACTTTATAAAACAAGGTAACATTTTTATTTTAATTTTTTTTTTTATTTTTACACACATATTTTGGATTATCTTCCTTCTACAATCATTATCTGAAAATTAATGACTCAACTTCAAAGTCACCCTGTATATCCTTGAATTTCTTTGGGTAGAAGGCAAAGTCTTGCAAAAACACACTCTTATAACTTAAACTCGAGCTTTCGAAGATCTATGTCTTCATCGTCTGGAGCTGAAAACAATTATTGACAATAGCAATAATTAACAATTAGGAGGAAAAATAGTTGCTAAGTCGGCGAGATTGTTGCTGAAATTGTTTTTATACAACAGTGAAGGGAACACATAGTCGACGAATAAAAAACTGGACTGATGAGGTTCGATTAGGACGGAATTATTTTATTATTAAATGGCAAATCATTTTGAAAGGTTTATTTTTTATTTAAACGTTGATTGATTTTGTTAACCTCCACAACAGTCGGCCAGCACGTGTTGGATAATGTGGAGGTTATCAGTAAAAAAAAGATGAAATCTCGAAGGAATTTTCAATAGTTGACAGTTTTAAAATCTCCAATGTTCTTCCAAAAGCAATCAACGTTTAAATTAAAAAAAAACCTTCAAAATGGTTTGCCATTTAATAATAAAATAATTCCGTCCTATTCGAACCTCATCAGTCCAGTTTTTTATTCGTCGACTATGTGTTCCCTTCACTGTTGTTTAAAAACAATTTCAGCAACAATCTCGTCGACTTACTCCAGACGATGAAGACATAGATCTTCGAAAGCTTGAGAGTTTAAGTTATAAGAGTGTACTTTTGCAATACTTTGCCTTCTACCCAAAGAAATTAAAGGATATATATATATATATATATATATATATATATATAGGTGAAAAATTAAAGCTTCCGCCTTTTGTTGGGTACTTCGACAAAATTTAAGCAAAGAGGACTCTTTATACTTTTTTTAATTCTCTCTAGCTTTCAATGGACTTTGCCATCATCCTCAGGGAGCTGCAATTACAATGATAACAGTAGCAACAAAAGTGTAAAATGAATTTAAATTGAATCAACTATGTGAGGATGTTGCTAATTGTTGTTTTCGTGCAATCATCAAGTGGCTTCACGACGTAATGCTCTAATGTTTTCTAAATAATTTTTAATCTGTCTTTAACTTGTCTTGTCATATTTTATATAATTTTAACCATTGTACCATGTATCCAGCTCTCACCATGTTACTGGACGTTTCCCTCATCCTATACGAAAACAACAATTAGCAACATCCTCACATACTACTGTAAGTTGATTCAATTTAAATTCATTTTACATTTTTGTTGCTACTGTTATCATTGTAATTGCAGCTCCTGATGATGATGGCAAAGTCCATTGAAAGCTAGAGAGAATTAAAAAAAGTATAAAGAGTCCTCTTTGCTTAAATTTTGTCGAAGTACCCAACAAAAGGCGGAAGCTTTAATTTTTCACCTAACTGGTTTAGACGACAATGACCACGTCTCAAGTTATATATATATATATATATATATATATTTATTATTTTTTCAATTTCTTTTAATAAGGTATCTATGATACTCCGTCAGATCTTTCACCAACCCTGTACAACGAGTCTAGGAGTCCTCAAACTTTTAAATTCACTTTTCTTGAAACTCATTTTTGTGACATTCATTTTTTACGGGGCCCTTCAAATGCAAGTACTAAATGGATTTCTATAAATCAGATTGAAAATTAAAATATGCGTACCTTTAAGAGAAAGCGACCATGAGACCATGACTCACTGCACAACAAATCGTTTAATAGGTGGACATCCTCCAAGTAGTTTTACGACTGAATAAATTAGGAATGTGAACCTATTTATTACCTATTACTAATAATACCAGTATTTAAATTTACACATAGTTTTTGAGTTTCATTTAACTGTGTCATTAAAATGATTGCATTCTTCAGACAATAAAGCGCATTTATCCATACAGGGTGTTCATTTGAAAACTTCCCACCACTGATTTATCGAAAACAACTTTTTAACCAAAAACTACTTCACCCTCGGTCCCCCGGGTCACTCCCTTAAAAATTTTAAATGACAAGAGGTATCGAGTATTAGCTTGTTTGAAAGGTCGTTATTTTGACGATTGATTTTTTAAAATCGGAGATTCGTTTACGAGAAAATTAGAAGATTCTTAATTTGTTCAAATAGAAAACAAAAACACACGAAAATATCACTTTTTATTCCAATAAGTGTTCAAAATGTTGCCCGTTAGGGATTGCCAAATCTACAATTCGTGTATAATTTAAAACTGAAACTACCAACATAAACAGCAATTGCGAAGATTAGACGTTTCAACAATCAAATCACAACCCGAATTTTTTCCACATTCTTTTCACCAACACATATCTTGGGCGAACTGTATTTATTGTTATACCTGTTTAGTTATTTGTTGCTAAGGGAAAGAGAGAATTTAATTTGCTGTCAGTTACGTTTATGACAGTCTTGGGATAGCGAAAATTAATTTATTGATTCAGATTTTACTTCCAAAATGGTTTACACACTAGCCGAAAGATTGGAAATGATTCTAATTTATGGTGCCCAAAATCAATGCGCTCGACAAACTGTCGTCACGTTTAACGCCACACTTCGCGTAGGTATGTTTTGGACTTTGTTACCAAATTTACCCAAACTGGATCTGTTGGAATACAAAACGTGAAGTGAAAACCGTTTGTTCAGCAGGGAAATCATTTTATTGTTGTATAACGCTTTGTTTATCCCAAGGATTATTTCTTTTCGTTTATCAGCATTAGTCATTTTTCAATATTGTTTACATAATTACTTGCTGCAATTTATTACTGTTGATAACATTTATTGCAAACTTCGCTCCCGATTCATTGAAAAATAAATCTCAAAACACTCTGAAAATAAGTTGCGCTCCTCTACAAAAACATAATAAATGTACTTCAAGGAAGCATAGTTATGTCTATAAAACTACAGTCTGATAAGTGCAGTATACAGGATGTTTTCAAAGTTGAGTCATTTATTTTAACTGCTTATAGGACTCGTCAAAAGGAGTTGATATACCAAACATCACCTTCATAAAAGCTGCATAATAAAAGAAATAGTAAACCCTACTTTTTTTCATCTCGACTGACCTATGAAATTTATTTAGATTTTCTTTGACACAATCTGCCACAATTATTAGATGTTCCTATAAATGTGAGGCAGAATATGTGGTTCCTACATGCTGAAGCTCCATCACATTTTAGACGAGAAGCTCTTGAACATCTAAACAATGAGTTTCCGAACAAATGGGGAAATTTTGATCAATTTTTTTAAGAACGGTATCCATTTAACTTGATAATGATTTTTAAAACAATTCTTAATAAAGCAAACTTTTATACAGGGTGTTTCAGTTTATTGTTATTGTTAAGAGTCGATAGAACTTTTAAAATTAATGCATAAAGTCTATATAAACATGTGTCGAAAAATGCGTGGCTTCCGAAATACAGGGTGTTTAAATTTACTTTCTAAAATAGTTTTTTTAAAATATTTCGAACAATATTTGATGTATAACAGTGCAAATTGGTATACAAGGATTTTTTGGTACGACAAAACGAACCATGGGCATAGATTTACTGTAGCCGCTAGAGGGCGCTCTCTACTGTATTAAAATGACCGAAAATTTTTTCTTAGCGCAATTTTTTGCTTTTTGAATAAAAAACTGATTCTTCGCACTTTTCAACATAAAAAAGCTCTCCTGTGAGTTTTCGTTATAGTTAGCCGTTTTTGAGATATTTCGATTTTTAAGGTTCGATGCATTTTTAATTATTTATGGGAAAAGAATATTTTTTTCACATTTTCCTTTGGGCATTACAAGTAATTAAGATGGTCGTTTAGATAGTTATTTTTCAATTATTTGGCGATGCACTCTTACAAATACTAAGCGAGTTGGATGTCGTCTGTTTGGAAATATTCGTGCGTATTCTCTGGCGGCTTCTGCTGCGTTTCCACTTACAAAGCCATACACAAAATGAATATCCGCTAACTCTTGATTGGAGAATAAAAATGGCATTTTTATAAAACTTACAAAAAAAATAGGTAAAAGAAACTAAATTTCGTGCATTCACAATTGCAAAAAAACGTTTCAGGTTTCAACAGACAAAACTAACTGTCAACTAATTGACGTTTAACCTTATTCTGCCTTCAATTTCAAAAATATTTGCAGGCACAGCCTACTTCTAAAAATTATCGAGATACTGACTTTTTAACGTTATTTTATCATAAATAATTAAAAATGCATCGACCTTAAAAATCGAAATATCTCAAAAACGGCTAACTATACCGAAAATTCACAAGAGAGCTTTTTTATGTTGAAGAGTGCGAAGAATCAGTTTTTTTATTCAAAAAGCAAAAAATTGCACTAAGAAAAATTTTTCGGTCATTTTAATACACTAAAGGTACAGTAGAGAGCGCCCTCTAGCGGCTACAGTAAAACTATGCCCATGGTTCGTTTTGTCGTACCAAAAAACCCTTGTATACCAATTTTCACTGTTATACATCAAATATTGTACGAAATATTTAAAAAAAAACTATTTTAGAAAGTAAATTTAAACACCCTTTATTTCAGAAGCCAAGCATTTTTCGACCCATGTTTATATAGACTTTATGCATTAATTTTAAAAGTTCTATCGAATCTTAGAGTTATGCAACAATAAACTGAAACACCCTGTATAGGTGATTTTTGGTATATCAACTTCTGGCGAGACTTCAAGCTGTTAAAATAAATTACTAAACTTTGAAAACACCCCTGTATAGTTAAAGCGGGCTAAAGGAGGCAGTTGAACCTGTGAGAAATATTGAGAAATTGCTTGAAATATGTAAGCAGTATGGCAGGTTGACAGTGCAGAATCGGATTTTTTTGTTCATTTTTACCTAGTTTGTATGTATTTTTGATAAACATATCTATATTAAATGGGCTCGGAATGAGGGTCTTTAATTTCTTTTCATCGAAGTCTTAACCCTGGAATACTAACCTTAATTTTTTAACGCACATCCAATGGATATCGAACTCTTTCTGACACAGTTAGACCACAGTACGGTGATAACACTGGCAAACCGGAAGACTAGACAAGAGCGCAGCGCAAATACGAGTAATTAATTGTACTGCGACGAGAAAATCACAAGCAAAAAAAAATTGTAGCGTCGTAAAATTTACGATGGTTAATATTCCCAGGTTAATGACAGCTGATTTGAAATTTCTATTATCTTACTAATTTTTAGATACGGTCAATCAAATTATCAAATGCTGTCCGACAACTGGAAAGTAGCCTGCCGAATATAAACACCTTCTTTTCTTTTTTTTTTATAAAATTACAGGAATATCTATAAGCAATGTATTTGTTGAACAAAAAATTCGTAATTGCACTTTGTATTCCACTGTCCGCCCACTGGCACATTCACCCTACCACTAATTTGTACTTCATATGATATTCATACCTTTGTTATAATTTTTCTGCCTGAAACACGAAATCGAACCAAAATCCTAAACGCGGATCAACAAACATTAAATCAAAGTCCGGCTCTGGTTTACGCCATTAAGTCCTAAAAATAACTGCACCCACACGACTGCACGCACTCATCAAGCCGAAGGGACTCACTCCAGTTTATCCACTGCGGTATCACTTTCTTTATTTAGAACAGCACAACAATAACGCAACACGTTTATTATTGTTTATTAGGATGGTTACTGGTCATACGCACCTTTCACTGTTGCTGCTCATCTAACAATTACGAAAAGATTAGAACAACGACCTTTGAGTGTCAGCCTCTTTAAAATTCCCAATGTTTACTCGCGACATTACATAATCTTACTACGAAACGATGACTGCATGATAATAGAAGTTCGATGCGACTTTGTGAAATGTGAAGGCGTTCAACAGTCACCGGATTATGCTACGACGTTTTTTTTACATTTATGTAAAAACGAGAGAAAATATTTGTACGACGATTGTGAGCGCAGTTCGGATAGGAGGAGAACAAGGCGATTGGGAGTAGGTACAAAGTGGTTAGCGCGTAAATACAGGAGCGGCTTTGATGTAACTTGTTGGTAATGCGCTTAAAGATTAGAAATGTGATAAGAGATAAGACAGAGGCGGGACGCAGATCTTCAACGGATAATCTTCATTACCCCGTAACTAGCGAGGTGTGGTCTGTGGTACAATAGCATATAACGTCCGCAACGTTCACTATCTACATTAGAGCAGCGCAAGGCTCTGTTTTGGCACCCCTTGTATTCATACTATACATGGTGTCAATTTTGATTTATAGAGGGACGTCTTTTCATCGATAGCCGTACAATACAGGGTGATCATGGATACCAGCAAGAACATTTAGCAACAGTCAGTGTCATCGTATGTCATAGAAGAACGTTCTCTTTTATTTCAAATTGTTATGTTACCTACCGAGTTGTGATAAATATTGAACAATTCAAGAAAGGGTAGGAATGACAAAACTATTACCAAAATGGGAGCATTCCAAGAGCTTCTTCCTGGTTGTTTAATGCGTTAGCACTCGTGGACTTGCTACTTCTGCAGGATTTACATACAAACAATTCTGAAAGACAATAAATTTGACCCGTACAAGATAAAACTTGTCCATGAGCTTAATGAAGACGATTTTGATAGAAGGTTTGAGCTTTGCGAATTAATGTCCCAACGCTCAATCAACAATGCAAATCTATTATTTAATATTTGTTTCTCGGATGAGTGTACGTTCTATTTATATGGTGCTATAAATACACATAATTGTCGATATTGGAGTGACTCGAATCCACGTTTGTTTCGAGAGGTTCACTCGCAATATCCTGAAAACAATAAATGTGCGGTCTGGCATTTTCGGAAATCATATTGTATGAACTTTCTTTATTCCTCTAGTCCATGCAACATTCCCACTTCCAGATTTATTTGGAAGTTTATTGACTTAACTTCTCAAAAAATGTTTCAGCGGTATGAGGCTATATTAAAATAAAATGTTTGTCACGCCACCGATGCATTTATTGATAGTCACATGTTTGTATTTTTTTAAGATATCGCTGAAATAACAACTGTATTGGAATTGTAATAAAGTAATAAATTATAGAACGCACTAATTACTATTTATAAATAACTACAAGGTCTTCATATCTGCAATATTCAAATATTAACAATTATAAAAGAGAATGTAATACTTTTTTCTAATATTCGTATACAGCAACAATAGTAGCAGTTTACGAATGATTTTGAGATCGAAAACGAAAAAAGTTTCACAAACGTACTTTTGATGTTTTAGAGCATGGATTCCCAAAGTGGTCTATATCGACCCCTAGGGGTCTATGACAACCTGCAAGGGGTCTACGTCAGCGAAAAAAAATTTGGGGGTCCATGAAATGAATATGGGGGTCCACGATAGTGGATCTCAATACATACACTGATAGTACCTATTTACTTACATCATACTATCTTATAATATAACATATACATTATTTATAAAAGTACCTATGAAATGAAAAATTTATTATATATGTTTATAAAATTGTGTAAGTTGTAGGATGTTGGTATTCGCTTTGTGGTCGCAATACATTTTGAACTTGTAAAAACCTGAGAGTCGCAGTCTCAGAGCTTCGCTACCTTGCACTGACTTGTTCAATTCGTCACTCTATAAATACGAATGTGGGACAAATACGTTTATTCGTTTCCTGAATCTTGAAAAGGAAAGTGCTAAGAAAATATTTTAAAAAATATAAACAGATAGTATATCACACAAATTATAGTGAGTCAGTGTTATTTTTTTTGAGAGTGCTGGAGAAAAGTAAGTACATTATTTTTTATTAAATTTTAGTTTTGTACTCGTAGTTAGCAAAGATAGATAAATTACGCCAATCTTGACTAGGTATTAGTAGTTAAATATTCAATCATGCAAAATTACACGAGTACTCCTCAATAGTTTCTTTTTGAAAGTTTTAGCAATCGGTAATATAATTACAGTGCAATCTCCGTAATTCGAGCTAATTGTTGCAAGAAGATGTTCGAATTATGGAAATTTAATGAAGAGGAAAACATACATCGCCTATTTAACAGATTTGTTTACAAAATTTAATATGGTTAATTTGCAATTACAAGGCGAAAAATATTGACTTATTGCTTATGTTATTTTATTTGTAGTTTATTTTATGTTTATTGGTGTCTGACCAATAAATGCCCGCATTGGGAATAAGGGCCCGCATTGTTTTTTTTAAAGAGCCCCCCTTTATAGAAAATATATTTTTTTTAAATTATTCTGAAAATTCAAGGATACACACTAAAATTCGTTAATTTTTTGCCTATTTTTAGATAACTTAAACGTATAAGAAGCGGAATTTAATCAAACTAACAGTGAAATCATTGTAGAACATACGTTTATGTTATAATAAATAAACGAAATCGCTTATTGTACTATTTTAAGTAAAAAACCATTATTTTTCACTTTTATTTTATTTTATCCCTCTTATTTTTTTTCAATGCGGGCACTTATTCCCAATGCGGGCACTTATTGGTCAGACACCTGTTTATTTAATGTTACGTATATTTTACATAACAGATACAAAATTTTATTTTGAGTAGTTTTAATTTAAATTCAATTAATAAATGTATAAATTAAAATGTGTTTTTACTTTAAGTTTTGAACACAGAAATTTACAGGAAATCAATATCAGGTAAGTAGGGGGACTACCCAACACGGAAAAACATGGCAAGGGGTCCACGACACAAAAAAGTTTGGGGAACCCTGTTTTAGAGGATGCTAATCAATTTTGAAAAGTATGGGTGAGGTAATTTTATGCACTATTAGGCATATTTCACACACCATAGGTTTCCCGTTGATCCGTTTAATTTATGTCTTTTGTTCAAGTTTGTAAGTATTTTTTTCTCTTACTTGAGTTTAGAATAATAAAACTAAACCTCAGTAGTAATAAAAAAATAGTAGTGCCCTAAAAGCTTGATAGCTATAGGATGACCTACAGGTATTGAGAACAACAGATATTTTTTTAAAGAAAATAGCTCTTGTAAACGTATATTTGTGAATGAAATGAAGGCTATACATTTTGTAATTTGAAGACGTCTATTTGTTATTGAAATTAAGGCTATACATGTTGTAATTTGAAGGAAAATGTATAGTAGGGAAGATCGTTAGGCAGACCAAGATAATGCATTCTGCTTAGTATAGCTAGCCCCACCACATGAAGCCCTCTAAATAGGGGCAGCCACAGGGTCATTACGTAAAAACGTCAAAATACCGGCAAAAGGTCAACTTGCTGCCCAGATAGCTCCTAGGTGCAAATAGTACATTCCGCGTTCGCTCGATATAAGCGCTGTGAGCTTCATCAAAAGCGTCCATCTATGGAGGAGTGACTCAACGACACGACACGCTCAATGACCATGCTGCAAGTCAGTTAACCATCATGCTTTGTTGGTTGCAGAATGCCGAGATAGTCTGTAGATACTTTGAGAAGATGTGTGGTTAAGTGGCAGAGTAGCAAGATCACATCTGGATGATTATGTGGTGATCGTGTTTATTGGTAAGCATGTGTATAATCAGTGATATTTGCTGTGTGACAAAATTATTACTGAATATGCTGCCCATGAAATATATCTATTAGCTGAGCCAGATAGGTTATTTGTGTTGTCATTTCTGAAGATAGGTTATGTTCCAAGAACGAGTACACAAGTGTAGAGCTAGAGCTAAGTTGACATCTTGTAGAAAAACCTACGAAATGTACGAAATTTCACTTTGCAAGATCCGTAATACACATGCCGATCAGAATAGTGAAAAAAGTGTTAGTTATAAATACTCGTCGGCGTGGGTGAATTACATCCTGAGAAGTATAATTATCATTTCATAAAGGAGTGGGAAGGTCACAAACTTACAAAAAAATTTTTATAACGGACATCAGACTATAATCCCTGGTACGAGGCATGTCTTTTAAGTTTTGCATATGGAAATAAAACAACACGGTAGGTAGTTTTAAACTACTTTATTGCTTTTCGAAGTATTCTCCAAGAAGATTAATACACATCTGCATACGCTCGAACCAATTTTCGAAGCACTTATTCCACTCGTTTGCTGGCAGATCCAAAACGGCATTTTTGAATGCGTCAACGCTTATTCTGGTGACTTGAACCTTTGACCACGCAGTCTGTTTTTAATTTTCGGGGAAGTAAAGAATTGAAATAAATTATGGCGCAAAATGTTCTCGGTTGAATTCCATTTTTCTAATGACTTGGTTGACACTTAAAAATTCACTCGCCTAGTATGTTTCTTTATGCAAAACTTAAGACATCAATCGTATGGTACGAATTCTATTCTCAAACTGTGTGGGTATATTGCGGCGTGACAAAAAAATAGACGAACCAAATTTATTAGAATTTTTTTAGGTAGTTCTGCCGAAAACATTTGAATTGTAGCGCCTGGCAATGTTGTTTTCCTATGAGCGCGTTAAAGAAAGATGTTTATAAGATGCTGAGGTTGCTGAGTCCATCTACTTGCTTGACGAGTTGGCTGTCGTAGTGTCACCAGTCACCTGTCTCGTTGACGTTTGACGATGTTTTTAGGTTATGTATATTTGTTGTAGTCAACGTCAGCTGTAGCAGTTTTCAATCAACAGCATTTTATTGTGATATTAGTTTAACGAAAAATGGACATTACAACACTATTCAAAGCCTGTGTGAAAACAGTTCGCACCACAAACAAGAATCTCGGCGTGACCGACACAAAGACTAAAATACTACAGAGCCACAGAGACCCACATTTGACGAAAGCTAAGGAGATTGTGAAGAAGGTCACCACTTTACGACAGTTCTTCACGGAAAATAAAGCGGCTTACTTGAACGTACTAAACTACTTATCTACAAACAAAACAATGACAGAAATAGATAGGCAGAAAGTAGATGAAATGGCCGAGGATATAATAAGCAACTGTACAAACTTGATAAATGAATACAAAAAAGAAATAGCCAGTACGCCAAAGAGCAAACAAAGCGATGAGCATTATCAAAATATTGTAGAAAGTTTGCAGCTCTACTTGAAGAATGTATCTAGAATCTACACAGAAGCTAAGGCTGTCAGGGTGAAAAGGGTAATCGAAACACATAAATTGTCCAAATTGGAAACTAAACCAACTACCACCCCAAAATCTTCACTTGAAAAGGTCCAAAAAGTTGGAACACCTTTAGAAGAATCAAAAATACTCTCATCGCAACCTCCTTCAATTAATTATGATGACCAGTTATCAGCTGAAGAGATGCAGATGTTTGAGTCTGAGAACGAGCTGCTTTACAACGAACTGAACAGCATTTCTGATGAAGTGAAGCAAATGGAGAGCAAAGTCGTGCACATCGCAGAGTTGCAGGAACTGTTGACAGAAAAAGTATTGCAGCAAGAACAGGACATAGATCGGATAGCAACGACAGTCGTAGGTTCAACAGAGAACATGAGAGAGGCCAATGATCAAATCAGACAAGCCATCCAAAATAATGCTAGCCTTCGGGTGTGGGTGTTGTTCTTTCTTTTGGTGATGTCATTTTCTTTGCTGTTTTTGGATTGGTATAATGACTGAAATTATGTTTTTTGGCATATTTATATTTTAATAAATGTTTTCATTATTTTCTTCATACTCTTTTCTTACCATGTTGAAAAGAATCATGTGGCCATGAAATTGGACACTTGTCAAGAAAACTGTCATCAACTCCAGCTGACCACAGAGTCAACCATGGACAGATGTTTTGCACTTTTTGGCAACTCTTCAGCATTGTCTAGGCTTGGAATCAGGTTGGGGCAATGAATGAAAACAGCAACTAACCTCTATCTGAGGTTTAATATCTATCGAAGCAAGACAGTATAAGGTGCAATCTATTGCCAGAATCGCAGTTTATGCTGCCTTGTTTTAACAGTTAGCATGTTATACCGAAGCAGTAAAAGAAGACAAAGGAAAATTTATTTGTCAGACTGATCATAAAGTGGGCCAGAAAGTTCTTTCGGTGGGATGTATGAGCCCCTACCCACTTCAGTTGGCCCAACTATTGAAATCTTAGTTTTTTTCTTATCAAACACAAATAATAAAAATGTAGCAGGGTGTTATAGGTTTAAAATATTAACAATGAACATTTTGATAATATATAGTAGAAAACACCAACTTTATCACTCCCTAATCAAATTTGCTGCATAAAAATAACACATGTTGCAATTACAGCATATCAACCTATTTTCATTTCAATGCAAAATAAGTCTATAACGCATAGGTGGCTGTGAAAAATATACTAAGTGACATATAAATCCGAACACCCAGTTTAAATGGTTTTATTTTAATAAAAGTTGGTGAATGTATTTATCTTACTGTAAATAACAAATGAACAAATTTTCAGCCTTATCAGTTGGACATTCCGGTTTTTATACTGCTTTTTTTTAATTCACTAACGCTCTAAAAATGAATATTTCAGCCGCAGTAAAGAAGAGTACGGAGACCTGTACGATTTCGTCAACTTAGTGAGTTTGATAGGGGCCGTATAGTGGGACTTCGGGAAGCTAGACTTTCTTTTCGGGAAATTGCAGTTAGAGTGCAAAGAAGTATAGACACTGTGGTTAGGTGTTGTCAGGCATGGCTTCGAGAAGGCCGTACGCAAAGAGCAAGGGGCACTGGACGCCGCCGTAGAACAACAGACCGTGAAGATCGCCGCCTAAGATTATTGGCCTTAAGGGACCGTTTCTCCACTACCAGGTCCATTGCAAATGAATGGTTTGCAGATCACGGAAGACCTATTGGCATGCAAAGTGTTTACCGACGAATGAGAATTTTTTTCTTGTTTTCATACCCTTTAACTGGAGAACACCGACGTAATCGCCTTGAGTGGTGCAGACAACGGTCACTCTGGGATCAGGAATGGAACAGTATTGTCTTTAGTGACGAGTCTCGATTTTGTTTAGGCATGCACGATGGTCGTGCCAAGGTTAGAAGGCGACGTGGTGAAAGGAGGAATCCACAGTTTTTTGTTGAAAGACATGTTCATCACACTGTTGGAGTTATGGTTTGGGGTGCTATAGCTTATGATTCCAGGTCACCTTTAATCTTCATCAGAGGTAACATGAACGCCCAGCGTGATATCCACGAAGTTCTAGAACTCCATCTTTTACCCTATCTTGACACCCTGGCAGATCCAACTTTCCAACAAGATAATGCCCGACCACATGTTGCAAGAGTCACAATAGACTTTTTTCAACATAATGATGTCACATTGTTACCATGGCCACCAAGATCTCGAGACTTATCCCCAATTGAGCACGTGTGGGATATGATGGGTAGGAGATTGCTCAATTTGCAACGTCCTCCTCAGACTCTAGAAGCACTTCGAGAGGAGTTGGTGGTTGCCTGGAATGAGATACCACAGGAGGACATTGACCACCTGATCAGAAGCATGCCTAGGCGCGTTGGAGAATGCGTAGCACATCAGGGTGCATCCACACATTATTAAAGGTCAAAGGGCTTTAAAGCAGTGCAATCATTTTGAAATTTTTATAATTTACTTATTATGCTTCATTAAGTACTTATATAAAATTTTATTAAAATAAAACCATTTAAACTGGGTGTTCGGATTTATATGTCACTTAGTATACCGTAAATGTTTGCAGAACTTTTGTAAAGCTGCCTTTGAACTGGTTTTGTCAAATCTTTCGTAAGCCTTCCTTGCCTTAAAAAGCATAAATCCTGGTAAGGTGCTTTTACCGCTAAAGTACATTGAAACCACGGTTTCACGTTATCCCAATGAGTGGGCAGATATCTAACAGAGCTGCCTTATCCTTATTAGAAAAGCTGGGAACTTAGTAACGCTATTTTTAATGATTTGCTTATTAAATTTTTTTTCAGTATCTCCGCCAAGGAATATTATTGAAAGTTCTATTAATTCATGTCGATGAAATTCGAGCAGCTTGTCAGTCTCTGAAATATTCAGTCATGATAGCTTTTCAGTATAAATCTAAATTTTCTCGAGATCCACACTTTTCCAGCTCTCGCCTATCGAAATCATCTTTGGTTAAGTCTTGCAATATTTTCATTTTGAACGGATGCAATTTATGGAGTTTAGTGACTGTGTGTACAGAGCCTAATGAAATACCAGTCACAGCAACAATTTCGCGTAATGAAGTATTAGGATTTATTCCAAAATGAACCAAAACTTCAACTTCACGTTTTTTATTTGCAACAGATCCAGTAAATTTAGTAACAAGGTCCAAAACATACCTTTGCTAAGTTATCTTTCATTTTGGGCATCATAAATTAGAATCATTTTCACTCTTTCAGCTAGTGAGTAAACCATTTTGGAAGTAAAATCTGAATCAATAAATTAATTTTCCCTATCCCAAGATTGTCACAAAGGTAACTGACAGCTGACAGCTCTTAGCAACAAATAACTAAACAGGTATAACAGTGAATACAGTTCGCCCAGGATATCTGTGTTGATGATAAGAATGCGGAAAAAATTCGGGTTGTTATTTGATTGTTGCTACGTCTAATCTTTGGAATTGCTGTTTATGTTGGTAGTTTCCGTTTTAAATTACAAACAAATTGTAGATTTCGTAAACCCTAACGGGCAACATTTTGAACACTTATTTGACATTTTTGTACGTTTTTGAACAAATTAAGGTAAATAAGGGTTTTTCTAATTCTCTCGAAAACGAACCGACTGATTTTAAAGAATCAAATGTCAAAATTAAGGACTTCGAAATCCCCTTTAAACAACCTATTACTCGATACCCCTTGTCATTTAAATTTTTAAGGGGCTGACCCTGGGGTTCAGAGGGTGAAAAGTTGGTGTAGTTTTTGGTTGAAAAGTAGTCCCCCTTGACAAATCTTGTGACGTTTCTCGGCGTTTTTTCATGTAATCACTGGTTTTCAATAAATTTGTGGTGGGAAGTTTTTTCTTTTATGATGACTATTCAAGTTATTTTAGAAGGCATGTGAAAATGAAGATTTGCCTCAGAAAAAATAAATTTATTTCTCAATAAAAATAAACAAAAAGCACAGTTTTTAAATAATCTGTCTGAAATAAAGGAAATACTTTTTGTAACATTAAACGTACTTTGTTGACTAGTAGAAGCTTATTTAAGTCTATAACATAAAACAATTTTATACTGTACAATATGAGTGAAAAAAATCACATTAGCAAATACTTAAAGGAATATGAAGGTTTTCCATTTTTATTGTAAAATATTAACAATATCTTCTTTACAAAAAATGCTTTTACAACTACCAGAGATGTACACGTCAGAACAAAACTATCTGCATATACAAGTGTACTTATTCGAATGTATGACACAATACACAATGCAATGTATAGACAGATGAAATATATTTGGCTTGGTGCTAATGTTTAATATATTTTTCCTCTTCATATCATCGTCGTTTTGACGAAAACTCCTATGCGTTTAGAAGCAGTTTTCACAGAATGACATAAAAACTCTTTTAAATCTAAAAACTATATAGATAGAGGCCAAGCCATAAAGTACCAGGCACAAAACCTACGAAATTTGACCATCGGTCAATTTCAATGAAAATTCATATACTGACAGTTTATGTTGCGATGATCAAATGTTCCAAAAGGCGCAAGGCCCTGAAATGCTTTCTGTTGGAAATACAAGGTGTTGAAGTTTGTGCGTTAGCTGCTGCTGATAAGCTTGCCTGCAGCATTCTACGAAAATCAACACATCTTCATTGTAATAGTATAATAAAAATCACCAGAACACATAAAATAAAAGTGTCCCAGCGGAAATGGAAATTTCATTGATAGAAAAACTATAAAAAATATTCGAAAACGATTTGCGTAGCGAGATTGATAAATTATAAGTGTGTATTCCTAAATTATTAGGATATGTGCAGGGTGTTGTACAGGTTCGTGGTACAAAAAAATGATCCATTTTTTTTATATATAGGGTTGTCCAATAGGGACGCAGGAAAGTAAACGTCAATTTGACATAGACGCCATCTTTGTTTTCTGTCACCGACATGTCATTTTGTTAGTTGAATGTTTACCATTGATCGCTATGGAGTTGTATTCGATTGAAGACCGCATTAAAGTTATTCAAGAGCACTACAAAAATGGTGCAAAAATAAAAAACACGTTTCGCGCGCTTCGTGAACATTTCGGTCGCAACAACCGCCCAAACGTGTATTCCTAAATTATTAGGATATGTGCAGGGTGTTGTACAGGTTCGTGGTACAAAAAAATGATCCATTTTTTTTATATATAGGGTTGTCCAATAGGGACGCAGGAAAGTAAACGTCAATTTGACATAGACGCCATCTTTGTTTTCTGTCACCGACATGTCATTTTGTTAGTTGAATGTTTACCATTGATCGCTATGGAGTTGTATTCGATTGAAGACCGCATTAAAGTTATTCAAGAGCACTACAAAAATGGTGCAAAAATAAAAAACACGTTTCGCGCGCTTCGTGAACATTTCGGTCGCAACAACCGCCCAAACGAAACAAACATCGGTCGTCTGGTGCGTAAATTCGAGGCAACAGGTTCTGTGGCAAATTTGCCAGGCTCGGGCCGGCCAAGGAGCGTTCGCACACCGGAAAATATTGCTGTTGTGAAGGAGAGTGTGAGAGACGATCCGAAACAATCAACAACGCGTCGATCCCAAGAATTGGGCATTTCGAGAACCAGTTTTCTCCGCATTCACAAGGATTTGAATGTACACTCCTACAAGATCCAATTGACGCAAGAGCTGCGTCGGGCCGACCATTTTTCGCGCCGAACGTTCTCAGATTGGCTCCTTGAACACCGCCAAATTGATACGGTAGACAAGCAAAGCTGGCGCATCTGGGCGAACGAAAATCCCCGTGAGTATCAAGAGCAGCCGATGCATCCTCAAAAAGTGACTGTGTGGTGTGCATTGTGGTCAAAAGGCATCATCGGACCTTACTTTTTCGAAAATGCGTCCGGGGACGCCGTTACCGTCAATTCTGAGCGATATCAAGTGATGATAGAGGACTATTTTTTGCCGCAACTTGAAGGAATGGATATGGACGATGTTTATTTCCAACAAGACGGTGCAACATGCCACACAACCGTCAATATCCATCGATTGCAGTCCTTCTTCGGTGATCGCGTGATTTCGCGCAGAGGAAATGTGCCATGGCCACCAAGATCGTGCGATTTGACTCCCTTGGACTTCTTTTTATGGGGATATTTGAAAAGCAAAGTCTAAGTCAACAAACCAGCCACCCTCCAAGAACTCAAAAACATCATTGTCGAGATAAATGCCATAGAACCGACCATGTTGCAAAATGTTATTGAAAATTTCGACCATAGCGTGGACGTCTGTAAATCCAGTCGTGGTGAACATTTGAGCGATATTATTTTTCATACATAACTGGTATAAATGAACCTTCAAAATAAAGTACCCAACTTGATTTGAATATCAATCTTTCTTGTTTTAATATGCGTTTACTTTCCTGCGTCCATTTTGGACAACCCCATATAATCTAATAAAGCAGTATGAAACCGGATATCAGCAGAAACTTGTAAAACGGGAATCTGATGTGTAAAAATATACAGGATGTACCATTTACAATATTTGAGAAAAACGTTTTGTGTTGACAAAGTTGACGTAATTTTTCATCCTCTTTCCAAAATTTAATGAAAAACTACGCAAAATGGCAAAAGGCATTTGTTCAGGCAGATCTTTTATGCAATTGTTATTAGATTCTTTGGATTAAACAAATAGAAATGTAACTTTATTGTCTCTTTTTTCGTATCTTGCTTCGTTTTCGAAAAAAAGTCCACTTAATTGCATATCCCTGGACCACACAAGGAATATGGGGAAAAGTTTCTTTTGGAAATTAAAAATTTATAAAAAAATATAATTTCAAATAAACTGTTCCATATTCCTTGTGTGGTCCAGGGATATGCATTTAAGTTGACTTTTTTTTCTCGAAAACTAAGGAAGATACAAAAATAAATCAAGAGACAAAAAAGTTGTATTTTCATTTACTTAATCCAAAGGATATATTAAAAATTGCACAAAAGTCAGTGGCGTACATTTTTTTGTCACAAATATTCGTTCAGATCCCGCCCGAGACGCCAGTGGACTCAATAAATTTAATCAATTTAGGACTAAATTAGTTCCCTAATGGTATGAATACCAACACCAAATTACAAAAAAAATAGGTAAAGGATATTTAAGATTTTTTTTTAAATTTAATACCCTATATCTGGAGAACAAAGAATTTCCGGACCTATGTTCATATGTTTGTCTTTGAATTCATGGTACACACTTAACACTGTGTATAATATAGGGTGTTCTATTAAAAAAACATTGTTGTATCACGAAATTGTGCAACACCCTGTATATTTCCAAATAGTTCAGATACACACCTATAAGATGCTAATATTATTGAGCAAGCCGTTTTCGAATATTTTATGGAGCCTTTCTTTTAAACAGCTTTCCATTTTTGTTGGGGACACCCTGTATATCTTGTAACAGTTCACGAGATTTTTATATTATCATTAAATTGCCCGAGAACATTAAAAACGAGTCAATTTTCGTAAAATAGCGCAGGCAGGCCTACCCACAAGGTACCAAAACTTTAACAGCCTGTATCTCCAATATAAAAGCATTTCTGGGCTTTGCGCCAATTGGAAAATTTCATCAGCACAACTTAATTACTATTATACGAATTTTGAAGTTTGACCTGTATCAAACTAAAAATAACCACGTAAAACATCAGATTGATAGATTTGAACCCATAGTGATAAGTTTTGCAATACTTTTGCGTTGCATATCATTGTTGAAATTACTGTATCCAAAAAATCAACAATCTTCTAAATGTTATCATTTTTACTATATCAACATGTACGACCTCTGTATCTATGACAAATACAGCTAATGTTCAGATATATTTTCATGTATGCCGATAGTTTTGAACATAATGTAGAGATAACATGTGCATATTGTACACGAATTGGGGTTGCAAATGAGAGGCTAACAAGTGTTTTCTATAACTTCCTTTTGAAGGAGACACAACCTTAATGACAACAAACAATATATAATGGCAAATTCTTAACAATTACATAAATTTTAATTAAGTGTGTTTGTGGTGTACGATAAATGGCAGTATAATATTTTCCTATTAAGCTAGACAGATTTGAGTTTTACAATTTTGTATAAACATGTCATCAAAAATAATTGTTATTAAGAACAGCCGCATAAAATTTTTAGAGATCCAAGTAGTCTAAAAAATAACACTAACGAAATATGAACTCGTTTTTCGCTTATCTCTATCATGTCAACAAAGAAATACAACAATCTTCTTTTTTAATCTTAGTAATAACAAAAAAACTTAAAAGCTCAGTATTTCCACCTTTTCTGTCATTGCAACGTCCAACATATCACAAACGCTACTTCAGTAGTACACCTTAACAGTTAGTGTAAAATGCATAAAAAAGCAAAGTTTCAGTACAAAAAAAGTATCTCACTAAAAGCGAATCAAAAATAGGATGATGTACAAGAAAAGATGAAATGAACGCCAAACATGTCAAAGGATACATTTTGATGAACTTTATTTTATAAGTATCGTCGCCAACTGTTTGAAAAGCGAAACGCGTATCTATCATATCAAATACCTCCAGTTTTCGCCAGAATGCAGTAAGTAGATCAATCTACTGATGGTACAAAATAGTAATACATGCAACTTTGCTTTAACTTTTTTGCGTGTTATTTATATGTTATTACTATTGCTTATATGCACCACAATCGGCATTTTTCTCTAATGCATTCTGTTTCAACCCCAAGCTAAAAACAGTTTTACTGTAATGCTTTGAAAGCAGTTCTGATCAAATTCAACAGTTTACGGGCTGGCCACAAGACGTTCGCCACAAATATACAAAGAATGATTGCGAGTAAGCTGTTATTTGTGCCATGTCTGCATTTAAATGATCACGTGTGGCTTTTTTATTATCTCGTGTGGGAAAAGTTTCTCTTGAAGAGCCATATTGGCAAGATATCAGTAGACATGTGACCTTGTCGTCATTTTCACATAACACCTACTTTATAAGCGAATCTTTAATGCTAAAGGTTTGTCTCAAGTTTGTAGCGCCATCCCTGGGATATACTCCGAACTTTTCATAGAACCTATACGAATTATTATAGAACCCTTTAAAAAAATAGAATACCCAGCGCCATCTTTGGACTTCGCTCTTACACTGTGGAGCTATATTCGAATTAAATATTCAAATTATATACAAGATATTGAGTAAAATGAGGTCATCTTGATTTTATTTTTAAAATGTGTAATTTTTTTTAATACTACACATAAAAATTTACAATTAGCAATTTCTCTACTCCCTTCATGACTTTTCGGGACTACTCTACACATTTTCCGAAAAAATAATTGAATTTCATTATGTCTATGCTAGACGAGTTTTTCAAAAAACTGTGCAAACCGTAAATACTGTGGAAGTTTTCAGGACACCAAAATATTTGAATCATTTAATCCTGAGTATTCACTGATTACATAGTGCAAGTATACAGGGTGACTTCGAAGTTGAGTCATTTATTTTAACAGTGAGTAGATCTGATCAAAAGAAATGTTTTTTTCCTTTACCATTTTTCTGGTAAAATTAAAGTAACAAAGTTATAGCCCTTTGGAAGTTTGAGTACCGCCCTGTCTCAATAATAATATTATGTGTTTGGCAACAACGGATATCGGTTCATCGCATTGGAAACAAAAAAGCGAAAGAATTTGAAACGTTTATCACGTTGTTTTTCGTCAGTCGGTAACGCGTGGGTGAATAGTGATGTTTGTTGCGTGACTCAAACGAAATGAAAAATGGCACATGTTTACGAAAATGCTGAACTTGTGGACAAGATTCTTATTTACGGGGGGGCAGTCTTTACAAAATGCTGCCGGATGCATCACGGATTTATGCGAATCGGTTTCCCAATCGAGTGCAACCAACCCCTCGTGCCTTTGTTAATGTAGTACAAAGGGCTCGTGAATCAGGTGCCTTAAGACCTCACAGGTGACAGCATGCCGGTGCTCCAAGACCGCACGATCAAATACAGGTCCGCACTGAAATACTTGTCGGGAGGATACTTTATTAAACAAGGTAACATTTTTATTTTATTTTTACACACATATTTTGGTTTATCTTCCTTCTACAATCATTATCTGAAAATTAATGACTCAACTTCAAAGTCACCCGGTATAGGAAGAGTACCAGGGAAATACGGCTATGGCTAAATTGAGCTTTCAGTTTATTTTGGTGGCATTTTCCTGATGCTATCTTGTAATCAGCTTCATAAATTGTAAAAAGGGCTTAGGTTCACAAAACAACTATAAGATTTCCTGTGCCGGGGAAGAATGGCATGAGTCCCTGCGCGTGTATGGAAAAACGGCATCGGTCCATGTGAAATCTAAATATCGCAAAATTACACAAAATTTATCTATTGGCAATGTTGATAACAAGATTTCCTATGAATCCTTCCGAGAAATCTTTGAAAACAACTTCAATATACCGTTCGGTTATCTACGAAAAGATACTTGTAATACGTGTGATTCCTCAAAAGCTGATATATCTTCACTTACTGCTACGGAACAAACTAGGCAGTCAGCAAGTAATAATTTGGAGAAAAAACAATACTTGAGAAGACATTACATCAAAAAGGAGTGAGCGATTTTACAGTCTAAGGATAACTTACCGCAAAAGTGCCTCGAAGTTCCCCGCTATCGAAAGTATCACAATGGATTACCAAAAAAACTTATTGCTATGAAAGGAGCTGACGATGTCTGTTCTATGCTGTATCACTTTTTTTATAACATCCTGCCTATGGAAGCGAAAGAACTTGCCATTTCCCGTGACTCCTGTGCAGGGCAAAATGAAAACTTTACAGTTATTCGGTTTTTCCATTACTTGGTTACCAAGAAAAATCGTTTAAAGTACTTTCCGAAAAATTTAAGTCACACATGTCTTTTATAAATTTGTTCGTGACTTTTATCGTCCAAAACTGGATTTCGCACTTGCTCGATCCATTTGTTAAAACATCTAATTTTGGAAATGTATGCCTTTTACCGATTGTATCAGTACGACCAGGCACCACGCACTTTTTAAATCCCCGCTTTCGATAAGCCTCCGTTTCAAAGATTAAGTTTGTGAATTTAAATTCATTTTAACGTTCAATATTAAAAATATTATTATTAAAATTCAAATTTCAATTCTAAATTACGAATACATTAACGTCAAAAATATTGGACTATCAAAAAGAACGACGGGAAAATCCAGCATCAGCGCCACTTTGTGGTTGTACTCCGTACTAACTATATAAGATTATTTGGTTGCCTACCAAGCATACCTTCAAAGTCACTCATTTAACTTTCTTTTATAAAGTAGGTGTTATGTGGTCATTTTGTCTTCAATTCAAATCAACTAGTCAACATGTTCAATTATCTTGCCAGAAATAGCAAGCTGGTCCATAACTCGGATAGCCCTGTAACTATGAACAAAATGACATCAATGATATATGCCTTTTACTACTTTCTTCTACGGTGAACGTCCCCGTTTTATATATCAGCTTATTTCGCGCCAAACATCTGTCAACCAGACACACCTCCCAGTCGCAACCCATGTCTCTTAAAGCTTAAGTATATCATTGCCGCGCTGTCCGTCGTCAAGAAAATCTGGCACCGTATGTTTTTCACATTTTTCACAAGTTGATGGTGTCCAGATCTTGAATGGGGGCTCTCTGGGTGTTCTCAGGTTGCGCGAGTGGGGCACTACCTTCGCTACTTTTTCTGTTGTGATGGTGGTGGCTGCCACCTCCGCTACTATTCCCGCCTCCGCCACCTCCTGGAACAATTTTTCGCATTGAGTTACAGTTTTTTCAAGGTTTATACGAAATAAGAAGGTTGACTAATGGTATTAGGTTGTTCGGAAAGTTCTTGCGGTTTTTGTTATAAACCGATACTAACAAGTGCGATAGTGTAAAGATGTGGAAAACTTTAAAAAGACTGATCAATTCGAAGCCGCATGATTGTGTAAATCAAGTTCAATTCGAAAACGGTACCGAAACAAATTCTCTGGTGATTGCAAACAAACTAGATGAAGATTTTGTGGAAAGTATTGTTGATATTGTGGGTACTGCCAATGCTGCCCTGACTATATGAAAATCAGTTTCCATTGGGAAGTGTTGCATACACTTTCAAAATTTCATAGCGTATCTAAGAAAAAAAGTAAACAGTTTAAAATCAAATAACAACTGTGCCGAAATAACTAGTAAAAACGTGCTGAAAAACTGTTTCGAAATTTTGGGATATCCTGTATTAAATTCGATCAATTGTTCACTGAGAAGCAGTTCTTTTCCTGAAAATTTGAAATGCTCTATAATAGCACCAGTTCGCAAAATAAAAAATTCTAAAAGATGCACCGATATGAGACCAGTAAAAGTGTTACCAGAAATTGGAAAATTATTAGAGTCCATAGTGCATGACCAATTAATGCAGTTTATAGAAGAAAACAAAAATGTTTTAGGTTGGTTTAGAAATTATTTGTCTAAAAGGATGCAAGTTACAAAAGTTAATGACACTATTTCATCAAAAATTGAAAATACGTTGGGTGTTCCACAGGGCAGTATCCTGGGACCACTTCTTTTTATTTTATACATAAATGATTTACCTGCCATAGTCAAAAGATGCAAAATTCAGATTTTCGCCGATGACACTATGATTTATATAAGTACTAACAGACTCAAATTAAATACAAGTAAAACGAAAGCTATGTAGATCGGAAAAAATAATGTACAAATGTTCAACTGAATATTGATGGTGAAGATATTGAATTCATAGAAAATTTTAAATACCTGGGAGTTTTTGTTGACTCTCGATTAATTTTTGATATTCATTATGAAAAAGTTATAAATAAGGTTAGTAGTAAAGTGGGATATTTATCAAGAGTTTCTGAATGTTTGAGTTCATATAGCAGAAAAATTATCTATAATACCATCATTCTTCCAAATTTCTTGTACTGTTCGACTATTCTATATTTAGCAAATAATTCCATTTTTGAAAGACTGCAAATTATACAAAATAAGTGCGTGAGAATAATACTGAATAAAGATAAATATGCTCCAATTAGACAAATGCTTAGCAAATTAAAATGGCTCAATGTAAAAAATTTTATCAAATATCTTGTAATGATATTCATTTATCAAGTAAAAAATAATATATTTCCATCAAGTCTAACTAATTTAACATCATCAAATGCGACCATCATTTAAATAATACTACTTTTTTTTAAACATTAATGACACTTGTGATATTTCAGATTATGTATTGTAAAATTCGTATATTTGCATTAATATACATATCAGATGAAAATATAGACATTGTTTTAAAAATGCTAAATTCTGACTTGGCAAAAATCATAAATTGGTTAAATGTAAATTAAACAAAAACTAAATGCTTCTAAAACAAAATCTATGCTAATAGGGAAATACCATCAGTTAGGACAAATGGTGAAATAAATGAAAATGTTTAATCAATTAAATATTTAGGTATATATATAACCAAAAGTAGAAAAATAATGGGAAAAATCCGCAAAAAAGAGGAAAGTGGATTCGAGCAGAAAATAGGATAGCTAACCCGAGCGATACGTATTTCTGCTGGTTGGCTTCATCAGGCCCGAAATGAATGCACATATGAAACTACAAAAGTAGATACACATGCCCACACATCCGGATACGGGTGTAACCTGAGGAAACGAAGATGGAGAGGGAAAAAAACGTTTTTTTCCTTTCTCCTGTGTATTTCGGGCCTGATGAAGCCAACCAGCAGAAATACGTATCGCTCGGGTTACCTATCCTATTTTCTGCTCGAATCCACTTTCCTCTTTTTTGCGGATTTTGCCCATTATTTTCTACTTTTTGTTATATACCTTTCTCCGCATGATCATTTTCTCTCTCTCTCTCTCTCTCTATATATATATATATTGATAGTAAACTAGAGTATGAATACATTATTTCAAAAATTAATATAATTAATATACATATTTGAATCTGCGAATCTGTAATTTCTGACTGACTAAATGATTACCTTTATTATTTGATTCACCTCCGCCGCCACTGCTGCTGCCCCCGCCGCCGCTTCCGCTGCTCCCGTGATTCATGTTCAGCTTGTTGATGATGCTCGGGATGTTGAATTCGGGGTTCGGCAGCTTTCGCATTATTTTACCGGAAGTGATCAGGCGACCGAAACCTTCTTGGTGGGCGAACGCGTATCCCGAACGAATGGACCTGAAACAAATAAAAGAAATTATTAGCAAAAAACATTTAGTATTATTTTGGAATGCATTCTAAAAGATGCAATTTCATAACAGTGTCGAGTATTTAATGTTTGACGTCGATGCCGCTCTGAAGCTTGGTCATTTCTTCTTCTTCTTCCTACTTTATTAATAGGCTCATGCTTGTTTTACTTCGGTTTTTAGCCTCAATTGATGTTGTCTGACCATCTGTTCCTCGGTCGTCCCATTGATCTTCTTCCATTTGGCGATTTGTCTCTTGCTATTCGTACTGTTCTATTTTCTGTCATTCTTTCTATGTGTTGATTCCATTCTATTTTTCTTCTTTTGGTCCACAGGTTTATTTCCTCTATACCACATCTCGCTCGTATTTCCTCACTTCTTACTCTGTCTCTGCCATGTTCACTTGTTTTTGTACTTCTTCTCTCACTTTTCCATAGCTTGACAGTTTGATTCCCAAGTATTCCGTTTCCATCACTTGTTCTATTATTTTTTCATTTACGACCGGTGTACATCGTCTCGGTTCCGCTGATATCACTATCGATTTAGTCTGTTGAAATCGCCATATTGTATATGAGCGTCGTATCTTCGAATTCTTTAATAAATCTTTGTAGGTCATCTTCATTTTCGGCTATTATTATGGTGTCGTCGGCGTAGCATATTATCTGCATTTCCTTTTCTCCGATTCTATATCTTCTTTTTTAACTTTCTTTATGATTTCATCCATTATCAGATTAAATATTAGTGGGCTCAGCGAATCTCCTTGTCTAATGCCAGTTTCATACTTGCGAGAGTTTTCCATTACATCTTACCATAGCTATATTATCTTTATATATATATATATATATATATATATATCCTCAATAGTTTTTACTAAATCCAGTGGTATTCCCCTGTCATATAATAAATGTATCGCGTCCCAAATTCTCACTCTATCAAACGCTTTCTTCAAATCTGTCAGGCACATATATGCTGGTTTGTTGTATTCCAGCGACTTTTATTTTATTTGTCTTATTACAAAAACTGCATCCGTGCATGATCTTCCTGTCCGGAATCCTTGTTGTTCCTCTCGCAGAGTTATTCGTTCGTTTATTTTTGTCGCCTATTATTCTTGTTGTCAATTTGAGTGTTGTATTTAACAGAGTTATTGCTCGATAATTATTGGGCTCTTTCTTATCTCCTCTCTTGAAGAACATCAGCATCATCGCTCTCCTCCATTCATCTGGTATTCTCTTCGTGATGATTATTTTTTGAATAAGGAGTTGCAGTTGTTGTACAAGGTAATCACTTCCATATTTCAAGAGTTCATTTGGTGACTTTCTATTTTTAAATTTATTTATTCTTTGTTTCACATCTTCTTGGGAGATTTCGGTCTTTTCATGAGTTATTATATTTGGCATTTCTGGTGAAGATTCTTCGTTTTCTTTTGTCAGGAAGGCCACCCATGTATCCTCTTTTATGTGTTCTATTTCAACTGGTTCTTTCATTTCGCTTCTTTGTTGTCTTATGAAGCGCCATACTTGTTTCTGTTAAAATCCATCTCTAGTCCTTTTGTGAATCTTTCCCAATAATCTGTTTTTGTTTTTCTTACCAATTAATGAGTTTCAGTTCTTCTTCTTTTATATTCTTCATATGATTCATTGGTTTTATCTGACTTATATTTTAGGAAAGCTTTCTTTTTTTGCTGACATTTTGTTTAACCTCTAGTGTAAACCATGGTGTTTTCATTTACAACTTTTTGTTTTTGTTTATTATTTTCGTTCCAAGGGCTTCTCGGGCAGCGTCCAGAATATTTTTCTTAAGTTTTTTCCAGCTAGTTTCTACATTGCTTTCATTTTCGATATCTTCTGTTCTGGCCTTTTGGCTATTTCAATATGTAATATGTCAAGAGACACTTCATGCCACCTATAAACATATACTCCATTTTCTTTATACAGTCAGTTGAGAAAAGAAACTCCCATAACTTGCGGCAACCGAGAGGCGGCTATGCTGCCTTCACAAATAGCCTAAAGGCGGTAGTGGACGCAAATCTTAAGTCTATTCAAACCTCATTTACTACGCGACAAAACAAACATTAGCATTCGATCGCCGCTTCTAATTACTTTCGTCGCCTGTCCAGGCATTTATGCTCCGCTGGCCAATAAGAACGTCGTGTCGCGCGCTGATAAATGAGATTTTACTACACTATAGTTGTAAGCATAAGTGGTTGGTGGCGCCACGGTACATAAGGCTCCTTTTTCCCGCAGGTACGATTTTCAATAAAAAAAAAATGAAAACATCTCTACGGTCTTCAAGTTAAGGGTGAAGGTTTCACGTTTGCATTTCGATTTGAAATTTTTGCCACTGCTTATTCGTAGAAAAACCGAGGCAAAATATTGAGATCCTGTAGTTTTTTTGTATCAAAATCATTGAATTCAAAAAACAAGACTTTTGAATGTGCCATGGACATTTGAAATAAAAATGGTAATTCTACGTACCTTCTGGCTCTTCGTGCAGACGGCGTCCTAAGGACATCTTGGCTTTGCCTGGATCTGACCTGGGCAATCCTTTGTTTCAGTCTCACCCTATCAGTCAGCGTCGGATGCACGTCTACAAAGTAGAAACGCCAGGCAAGCACCGGCATCACAGATATCGTCACCACCTAACAAACAAAAATAAGTTCATCTCACTATGTATTTTGGGAATATGTAGAAACTTCAATGATCAAAGTTCTGAGACATACTCAGTGACATTAGAAAAAAATAATTTATTCGACTTGTTTTTTTGGCAACGTAATGACTATATTTAAAGCATGCTTTGGCAACAATGTTAACGTTTTATCTTTGTTTTTGTTTACCTTTGTTCAAATGTTGTCTCTTAGTTTTTGTGAAGAAAGCAGTTTCTGAGAGCTGAGTATTACAGATATTTTTGGTTACTGCTCTTTCATTTACTAGTATTAAGCATAACAAAAAGCCTCGAGTTCGAGGACGTCCAATTATCACTAAGTTAGCGACTTTGACAGTGGTAGAATTATTTCCTATCGAGATGTTGGTTTGTCCTATCGCGAAATTGGCCGCCGTGTTAATTGTACTGCGATGACGGTAATGCGTGCGTGTCGTGTGTGGATAGAAGAAGGTAGAGGAACACGAAGAAGGACAACTGGTCTTTCGAGGCGTTCTATAGAGCATCATGACAGGCGCTTTGGGCAACTATCCCTATGAGACCGTTTTGTTACTACGCGTCAGATCGCTGAACAATGGTTTGGAGAAGAAGGTAGGCCTGTTACTACGCTTTCGAGCCTTAGGACTTTTTTCACACCGTTCACGGTTAGTGCTTCCTCTGACTGCGGACCACTGTCATCAACGTTTGTACTGTAACAGAGAACGGCAACATTGGGAGGCAGAATGGCATGTCATCTTCAGCGATGAACCGCGATTTTGTCTAGGTACGTACGATGGTTGTAGAAGGGTGAGACGCTATCGTGGAGAACGGCGTGATATTATATATATATATATATAAGTTCTTCTACTTCATATGTTTCTAGTGGTACAATGAATGCTGATAGCTTTAGTGACCATCAGATGGTATATTGTGATGTTAAATGTTCAATCAAATGTGAACCAAAATTTGTAACATACAGAGACTTTAACAACATTAACTTAGAGGAATTTGATAATGACCTTTATCGGATAGACTGGGAAAGCATACTTTACTTCAGCGACATAGAAAGCAAAGTCAAGTTTTTGACATCAAACTTATTGTCACTTTTTGACTTGCACTGTCCTGAACGAAGAGTACGAGTCACAAAGCCAAAAGCGCCTTGGCGTACTGCAAACGTACAAATGTTATTCAGGGAAAGGGGTGAAGCTCTCTCCAAATATAAAATGGATCCATCAGAAGAAAACTGGAACAGATATAAAAGCCTCAGAAATTACTGCTTGCTAGCATTACGCAAAGAAAAATCAGCCTATTTGGAACATCTACATAAAAATAGAAACTCTAAATCTCTTTGCAAATCATTGAAACAAATGCACATACAAAGTAATAAAGAGCCTCCGAACATTCCGGTCCACCTTTCCAATCCATATAAAGTGAATGATTACTTTACCTCAATTTTTAAGAATAGTGACGAACAATGTATTGACAAAATAATTCATTATCGTAACAACAGACATAGTTTTGAGAGGTTTTCTTTCAATTTAATTGACTTGACAAGCTTAGCATCTATAATCAGTCATATTGGTTCCAATGCATCTGGTAATGACGGAGTTACGTTGCGAATGTTAAAATTATGCTATCCCGCTATAAATTTTTATTTGTTGCATATTATCAATCTATGCTTAGAGAGAGGCTATTTTCCAAGCGCGTGGAAAACAGCAATGGTAAAACCACTCGCTAAAACCTCGAATCCTTTGTCATTTGACGACCTACGACCGATAAGTCTTTTGCCTCTTCTATCCAAAATACTGGAACGCGCAGCTTATATCCAGATTTACGAGTACTTAGACAAAAATAATATTATAAGTGTTCATCAATCGGGTTTTTAAAAAAATCATAGCACTACTACGGCTTTAGTGGACTTGATCGATGGCATAATTTCCGCGCTTGACAATAGAAACATGTGTGCTCTTGTCCTTTTAGATTTCTCGAAGGCATTTGATACATTGAATCACAAACTGCTTGTAGCCAAATGTCATTACTATGGCTTTGATGATCTTGCTTGTAAGCTCATCAAGTCATATTTAAGGTCGCAAGTGGCTGTGGTTGATGGTCAGATGTCTTTGCCAAATAAAGTTCAGTCCGGAGTACCTCAAGGCTCCGTATTAGCTCCATTGCTTTTTTTGTTATACATCGCGGATCTTCAAGATACTGTCAAGCACTGTCATGTGCAATTCTTTGCCGATGACACTCAGGTAAAGTATGATTTTCCAGCCTCACGCTACTCTGAAGCCCAAGACCAAATCAATGAAGATTTGTCAAGTATTAGCCGCTATTGCAAGTTACATAACCTCAAGCTCAACCCATCGAAGTGTAAAGCCTTGCTATTTGGTAATATCAAAATAAGAGCAAATCTTATAAGCAAATTGACGTTCAAATCGAAGGAAAAATCATCCCTTATTCAGAATGTGCCAAAAGTTTGGGCTTACATTTAGATGAAGACCTGAGGTTTGAAAAACACTTACAGCACGTTTTGAGGCAATGTTACGGTTCGCTCCGGCTTCTATTTGCAAACAATTGCATCACTGGTAAGCAATTGAAAAAACAGCTATGTGAAAGCTTGGTATTGTCTAAGATTTCGTATGGGCTAATAATTTATTACCCCTGCCTAACTGCTGCAAATAAAAGACGTCTACAGATATTGCAAAATACTTGCAGTAGGTACATAAATAATTTGAGGAAATTTGATCATATATCGCATACGTATTCTGACCTCAATTGGTTAACTATAGATAATCTATACAAATATTCTGTTATAAGTTCTGTGCATCGTATTTTACTATCCGCATCACCCCCATACCTGTTTGAAAAATTTATTACCAGATCCAGCACGCATAATATTAACACAAGGCATCAGGCTTTCTTTATACTGCCAGTCCACCGTACTGTTTTATATTCAAGAACTTTTATTTACAATGCCGTTAAATATTACAACAGTATTAATTTTCATTTTAAAAATATTGTGAATATTAAAACCTTTAAATTAAAATTGAAGTCCGATCTTCTCTCGCAAACATGAATTGCCACTTATATTTATTGGTTAATGATGGTTGATTTTTAAAAAAAACCCTTTGATCACAGTTTTGTTGGTTTAAAACAAACCGATTTAAATGTATGTACCATAGTTAATGTCATCCATTTCTATGTAACTTCGTATAAATTATCAAAATGGGGTTAGGTGGAAGAATAGCTCACGCTAAACCTCGCCCCTCGTAATGTACTAAATGTTTAGTGCAATAAAGACCCTTTATTATTATTATATTGGATTTACTGTTGAGAGATATATACACCGGACTCTTGGAGTCACCCCCGGTCACCTGATTTAAATCCCATCGAACATGATTTGAAGGGGAGGAGACTATCCAGTTTGCACCATCCACACCGCCACATACTCTTCCACAGCTAATCCACGAGAATTTTATTAATTTTCTTCTTATTACTTGACAATAACATTTCGAGAGAATGTTATCATTTTATTCTTGATGTAAGACTACCTCATTGCCAAAAAAATCAAGCTAAAGAAATTATTTTTCATGATTGTAACACTTCTAATGTCATTGAGTATATCTAAGAAAAAATTGGTTGTTTGGATAGCACCACGAATTCAGACTAGGTAGGAGTTGCAAGCCTACGATTTGTTCGTCTACAAAAGCTTAGTCTTTAGCCAGGAAAAAAGGTGCATGCCATAAGTTAATTTTTTTTTAATTTTTAAATTCGCATTTTTAGTGTTTGAAGATAGATTTGGACGATTTAAGGGCATGATACTTCTTGCATAATTTGCAAAGAATGACACAAGCCTAATGAAGGATCTTTCTACCAGAAAGTATTATTATTGGTATGTTGATAAAAGTTTGTCACTGTGATAAGCAATAGCAGTAAAATGAGTCAAAAGTATGCACTTAAACCAGTGTCACATAAAAATCACGATTTTTTTTAAATGAAAAATCTCATTTTTTTTTTCGATTAAATCGTAATTTTTTTATTTTCATCAGTTTTTTTCCTTAAATATGGTAATAATAAACTTTTAAATAACTTATTTTCATTATTTTTCTTTATTCGGCCAAAAATATATATAAATATATTTAGGGGATCAAAACTAATTTCATTTGTTGGAAATACATAAAAGGACAAAAGTATATAGACAAATTAATATTGTGCTGTATTTCTTTTTTAACTTGTTTTATTAATACACCAACCTATATACAATTCGTTATAGCAAAATAAATTCATTAGACTCCCTTCAATAAAAAATTAATTGAAAAAACTATGTAGGACAAATATATATAGACAACGCAAAACAATATATAGAAAAAGGAAGCAAAGTTTATTGAATTATAGAAAACGGATCATGTTTGTGTTAATATTTTGTAGCATAACCATTATTATCAATCACCGCTTGGCATCGTCTCGGCATAGATTGTAGAAGTTTCTGGATATAAGATTCATCAATATGTCTCCACTTTTGCTCTAAAGCGGCAAAAAGTTCATCCTTGTTTGAATAATTTTTATCTCGTATTTGCTTATCTAAGTAATGTTAGCGACAAACAGTGCAACTTGGTTCCATTTAATCTATTGGAATACTCGCATTCAACAAAACAGCACTACAAGTTGTTAGCCAAGTCAACCGAAAAGTCAATAAAGATAGTCAGTATCCAACTTATAAAAGAATTTTAATAATTATTCCAACAGCGAAGCTAATCGTCGCGTTGCCTAGCAACGCTGATGCGGCAATCTGTGAATTGTGTCGAATCTGTTTAGGATCGATGAATGTCACTGAAGTCATCGACTATAAATGTTTCAATGCCATAAACAGTATCAAAGCTGTGGCACCTGAAGTTTCTGTCACAGTTTCCTGACATGTAACAGGCACTCTAGGATGTACGCACAAGATAGTGTTATACACCCAGAGAAATAAACTGTTCCATACAATCGTGATCTTGATGACCTTGATGCATTTCCTCTGGGCAGCAAACACTTCCGAGGAGCTGGTTGAGTGACCCCTCAATAACACCCCATAAGTCCTATGAGTATGAAAATATGTAGCTGTAGTACGCTTGTCGAAGTATATCAGGGGGACAGAGTTTTGGAGGCTACGGAGTTTATAACGCAATACATAAGTGTGTTCATGCCATGAGAGACGGCTATCTAAGCGCAAACCTAATGTCTTTACTTTCAACTCATTGTTGTCGTTGAAATTCTTCAAAGTGCAAACTAAATTTTTATATGTACATTATTATCTACTGTGTTCAAATCAAGAGCAGTGTTACCACTCTCTAGTGCAGTAGCCTCATCTGCATACAGGACAATACTCCGAGAGTTACAGAGGGTCGTTTATGAATATTATAAAAAGCGACGGAACCCTGAGGAACCCCCTGCTTTATCTTCAGGATCTCAGAGCAATTGCCTCTATCTTAGGTTCGTATCATTTCCGACGCCTTTGCAAATGCTCAACCTATTATGAACGATTAAGAATACTCACCATGACAGTAGTGAACCAAAAATTTGCTTCGGACATGGCCTTGATGAGTGAACCGACGTACGGTCCGTGGCACAGGTAATTATAAAAGTTATCTGCTACGAAATAAAAAGCTAGCGAACCCCATATCATGATGTGGTTGAAGATGGTCCAATACATTGTATCTAAGGCAATCTGCAAACAAGAAACAAACATGTACAATGTGTAGGAACATAACAACTGTTTTCGCGACTTGTTTAGGCCTACTCGTTACTGAAAATGGATCTGACTATCTAGTAGATTTATTTAGCACTAATGGCCACATAAACAATTGAAAGTAATACATAATAATAAATTCAAACCATATGGTGCATCGTCATGTTTGCAATTTTAATTTATTTGTTTAGGATATTTTATTGTTTTATGTTTCAATCTCATTTGTTGAATTCCATTAGGCCTTGATGGAAAACCGATTTCGTAATGCCTTTTTTGGCGTTTAAATGGAAATCATGCTCGTGTCTGGTATCATAAAAATTATAGTAGGCATTTACAGAAGTTACTGCAGATAGGCATGATGGCAAAACATACATTATTTTTATTATATAAAACAAATCGTTAGTTATCGGACACCTGACAGTTATTGGACATTGCTGTTTCAAAACCGAATACTAAGAGTTCTGTATGGCGTATTTTTTTCAGTTCTTGACAGATGGTATCTCTATAATATATGTTAACAGATTTCTATTCAGTTGCGCATACTTCCACACCGGTGCTGTGATTATGGCGGGAAAATTTGATAGGTTATGTTCTTGACTCTGAAGCTAAAGTTGGTGTTAGCGTTGCGGTTCACGTATCGACAAAAAATTCCGAGTTCGGGTCTTTAATATTTGGTCTACATTTTAGGAACTAGCAATATACCGAAATTAAGGCAATACGACAAGTCGAAACTTCAATACGCCCTCAGTGACATACAAAACGGCACAGAATCTTACCGAACAGCCGAAAATAAGTACGGAATTCCGAAATCCACTTTAGAATTTCAACTGAAACATCCCAGTCATAAAGAAACCTTGGGTCCACCGCCAATTTTAACAAGTGAAGAAGAGGCTTTGTTAGTTAAGTAATTTGTATTTTATTAGTGTCTAATAACACTAATTTTATAAATATTTATCGGCAGCTGGATAAAAGATAATGCTGCAAAGGGTTTTCCAAGAAAGGCCAACGATTTGATGAATAGCGTACAAAGATTTTTGACTGTTAATCCGCGCCCACACAAATTCAATGAAAACCGACCTGGAGATGGGTGGGTTAAGGTATCCCAGCAAATAAGTAATGTATAATTAGTTACTACTTATAGATATTTTCAACGTTACAGGGACTCTTGAAAAGGCATCCCCCCTCAAGCAAAAAATCTAGAAAATGTGCTTAAAGATCCTTCAAGGATTTTTAATGTTGACGAGTGAGGATTTGAGATTTGGTCCTTCCACCGGGAAGGTGTTTGCAGCAAAAGGGACCAGAAATGTGTATTTTGTAGAACGCGGTTCTTCGAAAGAAAACATCACCGTGCTGTTTACTTTCTCAGCAGATGGTACGACTTGCGCGTCAATGGTAGTTTTCCCTTATCAACGCATTCCTGAAAAAAAGGTATTAATCCTACGCGGGGCGTAGGAAGAAGCGACAAAGGATGGATGACATCCGAAACATTTTATCAATATACAGTGATGAAAAGATGAAAACCCTAGGCTGAAAAGGGCTTCAAACATTTCAAGTGAAATTTTCTGTAAATGTGTGGGCCGCACTGATTGACAACTTTTTGATTGGTCCAATAATACTCCCGAGGACATTAAACGGAGAGAGATTTCTGGAGCTTTTGCGGACTGAACTGGCCTTGCTGTTGGAAGAAGTGCCGCTGCAAACCCGTAGAAGAATGATGCTTGAAATGGATGGATGTCCTGCCCATTACTCGCTGATTGTCAGGTCGTTTCTTAATGAAAATTATCCAGGCCGCTGGATCGGTCGACAAGGACCTGTTGGGTGGCCGGCGCGTTCCCCAGATCTCACACCTCTCGACTATTTTTTATGGGGACAATGAAACAAAGGGTGTACAGCAGTTCCATAAACAGCGAAGCGGAACTTGAAGAAAGAGATTTGCGTGCTGCAAACGAAATCAAAAATGATCCCGAGATGATTCGTAGGGCAACTCATCAAATTTCACTTCGCGCTATAATGTGTTTGCAGCAACGGGGTGGCCATTTTGAACATTTGATGCATTAAGCCAAAATGATTACCCTATAGACAAGTCTATTTGATTTTATTTGTTAAAGATAATGAATGATTCATGTAGGTTAATACTGTTGTTTTATTCCTGCTCTGGCGTTGAACTGAGTTCACTGCTTTTTGAAACGCTGATTTAAAAACTTGTATCTAAGTAATAAACTTGCAATTTTTCACCATTAGGAAGCTAATAACATGTAGAATAACTTAACATTTAAAAAAGGTAGGGTAAATAGGACAATTTTTATTGAAATTTAGCAATTGTTTTAAAAATCATTGAAAAAATAGTGAGTTTCAGCATATTCCTCTTTATTTTAAATTTATAGCATTTAATTTCGTGGAAATTTTCACTTTACTGGTACGGCCTATTATTTGCAATCACTACAAAATTTATTCCAATATGATAGGACATTCAGTTTAAAAGTTGTAACGATTTATTTAAATAGGGTTAGCAGCTGACTCTAAAAATTTTAAAATATTCATAAAAAATCAATTATGGTTTTTAATTTTTTTTTGATGATTTATCCGTCGATGAAATAGAGTGTAGTTTCCCTGATTTTGATATGTGCACTTTATGAAGACTCACACTGTATAGAAAATGTTTTCTATCGCCATCTGAAGGAAAATGCCATCAAATTAATAGTGATCCTCTTTCTCGACGGTCATAGTAGTCACCTGAATTATCATCTGAGCATTCTATGTAATGAACTGCAAATTGAAATCATGTCACTGTATCCTAATGCTACAAGGATTTTGCAACCCTGTGATGTATCCACTTTCCGACGAATCAAAGAAGCTTGGCGTCAGTCAGTACGAAAGTGGGAAGAAGAACATCCGGGGCAAATAGTAAACAAAGTCGTTTTTGCTGGTATTCTAGAAAATGCTGTTAATAAAAGCTTCAAAGCAGAAACAGTTGTAACCGAGTTTAAAGTCTGCGGTTTGTATCCTTTCAATCCATATAACGTCGACTATACAAAATGTCTAGGAGTGGGGACCATGCAGCAACCAAATATTGGAGTAGAAAATCCTACTCAGCACAAGATGTCCTACGACAAGTTTGCAACAATAGTTGGTCCCAAAAAATGTTCCAAAATACTGATGGAAAAACAGGAGAAAATTTGCGTCTATTATTCAAGACTTGGAGATTCTTCCGAAACGGTGATAGAATACCTACGGATATCACAGAGCCAAAAAATAAAATTAATATCGTATAAAATATAGTTATAATGTCCCCAACAAAAAAAACTTCACTTGCTTCAAATTCTAGTGAAACTGAACAAACCGCAACCCTCAGTCAACCGAGTACCAGCAAAGCTACCGTCAATGTAATGTGTAAGCAAATAATTCCTCCCAACCGAGTCGTACTTCCAAACAATTTGTTAGGAAGCTTCCTACAGTCACCTTCTGCACCAGCAAGAAAGGGTAAACGAAACATAGAGAGATTCCCTTTTGCTATAACATCTGAGCGATATCAGATGTTCAGGAAAAAAGAAGAATTAAAGAAACAGCAGGAAGAAGAGAAGGAAAATAGAAAAAGGAAGAAGCAGGAAAAACGAAACGAAAAACAAGGTCAGGTAAGAATTCACAAACAACAACAGAGTGCTCTGCCTGCCTAAAGGGCATCAGATCTGGTCAACTACAATGTGATGACTATAAACGACAGGATCATCGAGACTGTGTTCCACAAACCCACGAACATAACATACCTAGCGATGACGATTTATACATATGTCATAACTGCTACAGATTGAGTGATAGTGACGAGGATTGTGAAGATATTGATGATCAGGAAGTCGATCAATTATACGACTAATATAATCAGGCAAAAAAGCATTTTACAAATGATTATACCACATTATATAAGACCCGTCCAATAACTGGATTTTCAGTGTCCCATATCTAAATGTTGCGTCCAATAACTATATTTTTGCATATGTTAAAATTATCATTGTTAGTGTAAATTCTGCACAACTATTTTAAAATATCTTCTAGCAGTCTAGTTAATAGAGCCTCTAACTTCCTTTATATGTAGTTTCCACTGTCTCTTTGCCATAATTGAAAGTTTGGCTCTCATTTAAAGTAGTCTAAACCTTAAATGTACAATAATTGTCTAGTTTACCCTACATAAAATTTGGCCGTATAAGTGACGAATACTGGACACATCAAATGCACGTGAAAGAGTAATTAGGCACGGCTACTCACCTGCGCGGTGTTGACTATAACCAATATGGCTGCAGCCACACTACAGAACAACATGTAGTCAGACAATCCTTGTCCATCGGGGCTAACTGCATCATAATATGTACCTGAAACCAAACACCAAAATATACATTCATTAGAAAAATATTCATTTCGAAATCAAGGTACACGGTGTTATTTACAACAGTTTAGATGTAACAAACACTACATAGTTCTACTACCCATCAATACGACAACACTATGTAGCTGCTGCTCCAAAGAATATGACATACTTTGAAAATGAAACGAACCAAAGTTTTTCAATTTATGAGAAATTATAGATTTTTCTTACCTAAAGCTATAAAAAACAGCACCATAGAGACGTAACAGCCTTGCAGGGCGCTACGAAAAAATTCCTTCTTATTAAATAACAAGTTGAGGTGTCCGGGTCTGTACAACTGGGGATAGAGAATACTGTTTTTATCGTTGACGTCTTGATCGAAGATGCCAACGCCAAGTACGGGTAACGAAGTGTAGAACAGGTTATAAATTGATATATACATAGGATCAAACACAGTCTGCAACAAATAAAATACGATATTCATTATTTTCATTATGTTCTTTCAATAAATTTGCAATTATAGCCGGAATTGTTCAATGATTCCCTTTATTCACTGGGTTAACTTTAAATAACTAACTGGTATTCCCAAATGCCAAAATAAAGTCTAACAGAAGCTGACATTCACATCACATCTTTCATAATATTCCTTATCTTTCCAATCATACACTACTTTGTCAACCAACTGGTAATTTCGCCACGAAAAAACTTTAAATACCACATCAAAAAATCGCTAAAAGTCATTCAATCTGTTTCAGTGACACTTCTGTGTTAAGTCTCTACTGTTGGCAATAACGAATCTGGTAAAGCTCAGTGCCGTATTTAGATCTATTAAACACAAAACTAAAAAATGTTATTAGACAATAGGAATCATTACAAAACGCCGCAAAAATACAGGTAGCAATTAAACCGACTGATTTAAATAGCGTGCCTTTTTTGATACACGCATTTCAGTAGGTGGCGTCGTAGTAGTTGTTTAAAGCAAATGTGTTCCCTTCATCATGGAGCGCTACACGATCCCAGTCGATTTGTTGCACCGATTCGGAAGCTACGACAAGATGTCGTTCGAAATAATGTACCCAGTGTCAACACCATTCATCAGCTGGTGCGGAAATTTTAACAAACAGATGAAGACTTGCCAAGGTCGGGCCGTGTTCGAACTGTTCGTACTCCGGGAAATATCGACAGAGTTCGTGAAGTGTAGTGGTGCGCCCTGAGACGTCTACCAGACATCGTTCTCAAGAACTGGGGAGTTCGTGAAAGTGTAGTGGGGGCGCCCTGAGACGTCTACCAGACATCGTTCTCAAGCACTGGGTATTCATCGCACATCATGATGCTCTATTTAAAAAAAACTTTGCAGAATTGTCATCCTCGTCGAGTCACAGTTTGACACGACCTTACTTCTTTGAAGACGCTGCAAGTAATTCTCTTACTATCACTATCGAGCGCTACCATCATATGGCTGCTTAAATCCAACAATTTAACCTGCAAAACATGTTGTTCCAGCAGGACGGAGCAACTTTGTCACACAGCTAGGGAAACAAGGAATCTTTCCATTCCACAAATATTCAAATATAAACTAGTCAGTTACATATCGACCACCCTGCATATACGTCTATAGAACTCACTTCCCTCTTAATTCAACTGCGTGCAGATGCGACAGACTTGTGTGTCACTTGACGATACGGCACTGTTATTATGTAAAAAAAATATATAATGTCGGTAAAATGTCACCTCGTGTACTAGATAGCCGCTAGTTCATTCCGCCTTTAAGTGAGCATGAAGTGAATGTCATCTAGTGACATTTTATAGAAAAACCTACATAATGTCAAAAGAACCTACGTAAACAACCAAATGATGTCACTTTTCAAGTTACGTAATACGGCTGCGGGTTATTATGAATGCCACTAGATAAGCACCTGTCATTTGCTGCCTCGTTTTGTCGTGATGAAGTATCGTGCAAAATAGTGTAGATAAACGAACTAATAGTATTTTAACATTACTTGCATTATTTTGCTAATTCAGAACGTCAAGTTACTCACCTGGGCGCTGAATCCACAGAAAAAGGCGTACCAGAAGTGGCAGAGCGTAAATGCGAAGTTCTTGTTGAAGAAATACCTGAGAAAGCTACACATCCTGTAGTAGGACCAACGTCCATGAACCAACAGCAACCGTTCCAAAAATCGGAATTGTGCTATAGAATAGTCGGACGCTAATACTGCTTGCATACCTTCTTGACCAGATATTCCCACTCCAATATGGGCAGCTGAATGTGAACATAGAAAAAATACGATTATTTTTATTTGCAACGTGATTATTAACAAATAAAAAACCCAAACGCGTGAAAAGGTTATACGAAAAAACGAGATACGGCAACGTACTACGCTACTCTGACTCTAGTTTGTCACCATTTTCAGCGTAAATATACCTTTGATCATGGATACGTCATTTGCTCCGTCGCCGATGGCAAGCGTCACAGCCCTTTTTGTCTTCTTCACCAACTCAACCACTAACGCCTTTTGCAGTGGTGTCACTCTGCAGCATATCACAGATCGGCACCTATGTACAAATCAAAGCATTACAAAGCGAAACAAAAGCAATAACAATAAACAGACTGTAAAATAATGTGCGGAATGAGAAGAATTTCCAACTATTTTGGAATATAATCGATAGGTGGACTCTTCTTATGCTATCTAGAAAACAACAATCTGGAATATTACAATGTTGTAATAGATCTTGGTATACTTTTTGCTTGATTTTGTGTTGCGTAATTCTAGAGAGATATCTATAGAAACTTGTAAAAAATTATACATGTCACTTTTGGTGTCCTTGTTGTAATATAGATCAATGATCTCGTGTCTCCCTATTATATGAATAATTGTCTAGACCTCCAAAGAGCGCAGAATAAAGTTATTAGGTTTTATCTTTATGAGCTTCATATAAGAATTCCTGATGATCATATATAATATAATCATATATAATAGTGTATGGCGAATTTCCTTCAAAATTAAAATGTTCTACAATTACTCCTGTCCCAAAAGTGCAAAATTCTGAGTTATATAACAGGTGGGCTGAAAAGTCCGTATCGTTTCTATGAGATGGCGCCACCAGAATAAAATCCACACGCTTCTTAGCTAGTACCAACCTTCAAAAGATGCCTGTCAAAATTTGACAGCTGTCGGATCATTAGTTTTTGAGTTATCGTATCGAGAGTGACGCTACTTTTGTTATTTTTGAAAACCATGGAAAGTCAAGAGTTTCGTGTGTTAATGAAACATTATTTTTTGATGAAAAAAAGTGCCGTCGAATGCAAGAAATGGCTTGATGAGTGTTATCCGGACTCTGCCCCGGGCGAAGCAACCATTCGCAAGTGGTTTGCTAAATTTCGTACCGGTCACATGTCAACTGAAGACGACGCACGCAGTGGACGCCCAAAAGAGGTCGTTACGGACGAAACGTGAAAAAAATCCACAAAATAATTTTGGGAGACCGCAAAATACGGTTGATTGACATAGCTGAGGCCTTAAACATATCAAAAGAACGTGTCAGTCACATCATTCATGAATATTTGGATATGCGAAAGCTCTGTGCGAAATGGGTGCCGCGCAATCTCACATTTGACCAAAAGCAACAACGCATCGACGACTCTGAGGCCTGTTTGGAGGTGATTTTGCGCAATAAAACCGATTTTTTTCGCCGATACGTCACCATGGATGAAACATGGCTCCACCACTACACACCGGAGTCAAATCGCCAGTCGGCCGAGTGGACGGCTGCATCCGAACCACCTCCGAAACGTGGAAAGACGCAACAGTCAGCAGGCAAGGTTATGGCCTCTGTTTTCTGGGACGTGCAAGGAATTATTTTCATCGACTATCTTCAAAAGGGCCCAAACTATCAACAGCGACTATTATATAGTGTTACTGGAGCGTTTGAAGGCCGAAATCGCCAAGAAACGGTCACAAATGAAGAAAAAAAAAATCTTGTTTCACCAGGACAATGCGCCGTGCCACAAGTCCATGAAAACGATGTCGAAATTGCATGAATTGGGCTTCGATTTGCTCCCCCATCCACCGTATTCTCCGGACCTTGCTCCAAGCGACTATTTCCTCTTCTCAGACCTTAAGAGAATGCTCACCGGAAAAAAAATTCACAGCAACGAAGAAATCATCGCCGAAACTGAAGCCTATTTTGAGGACAAGCCGAAGGATTACTACCGGAAGGGTATCGAAAAACTTGAAGAACGTTATAATCGCTGTATAGCCCTTGAAGGCAACTATGTTGAATAATAAAAGCGAATTTTGACGAAAAAAATATTTTTTCATTGAAACGATACGGAATTTTCAGCCCACCTGTTACAAACATGCGGCCAACTAATGTACTGCCAGATGTCGAGAAGTTTTTAGAAGGAATCATATATGAACAAGTCATTGAATATTTTGAAGAAAGTAAGATATTGCCAAAATTTCAAGCAGGATTCAGAAAAAAGTATCTACTGGAACAGCATTTCAAATGGTAGTAGAAGAATGGAGGCGAAATATGGATGAAAAAAATTTACAGTAACATTGTTCTTAGATTTCAAGAGAGCATTTGGGACTAGGACAGGGACAGGGAGAAATTGTTAACGAAATTGCATTGCTATGGATTTCAAGGTTCAATGTTCAACTTGTTACAAAATTATTTAGTCAATAGAGTCAAAGAACTAAAATTGGCAATACATTATCAAACATTAAAAACATTTCGGTAGGTGTGCCACAGGGTAGCAAATTAGGTCCATTACTATTTATTTTATATATTAACGATATTCCTGATATTTTACAACACTGCAAAATTCAACTATTTGCTGATGATACCTTAATATATATATAATATATATATATATATATATATATATATATATATATATATATAGACTTTAAAAGACTGATCAATTCGAAGCCGCATGATTGTGTAAATCAAGTTCAATTCGAAAACGGTACCGAAACAAATTCTTTGGTGATTGCAAACAAACTAAATGAATATTTTGTGGAAAATATTGTTGATATTGTGGGTACTGCCAATGCTGCACACCTGACTACATCAAAATCAGTTTCCAGTTGGGAATGTTGCATACACTTTCAAAATTTCACGGCGTATCATTGAATTATCTAAGAAAAAAGTAAACAGTTTAAAATCAAAATAACAACTGTGCCGAAATCACTACTAAAAACGTGCTGAAAAACTGTTTCGAAATTTTGGGATATCCTGTATTAAATTGGATCAATTGTTCACTGAGAAGCAGTTCTTTTCCTGAAAATTTGAAATGCTCTACAATAACACCAGTTCCGAAAATAAAAAAATTCTAAAAGATGCAGCGATATGAGACCAGTAAATGTGTTACCAGACATTGAAAAATTATTGGAGTCCATAGTGCATGACCAATTAATGCAGTTTATAGAAGAAAACAAAATTTTAGTGGAGGCGCAAGCAGGCTTTCGAAAAAAATATTCCACAGAAACGGCTTTCGTTGGTAACTGAGAATTGGAGAAGAGCCATAGACTCAGAAGAAGTTGTCATAGCAGTATTTTTGGATTTGAAGAGGGCATTTGAAACGATTGATAGAGATATTTTGTTAGGTAAATTGAAGGCATATGGTATAACAGGAAGTGTTTTAGATTGGTTTAGAAATTATTTGTCTAAAAGGATGCAAGTTACAGAAAATAATGACACTATGTCATCAAAAATTGAAAATACGTTGGGTGTTCCACAGGGCAGTATCCTGGGACCACTTCTTTTTATTTTATACATAAATGATTTACCTGCCATAGTCAAAAAATGTAAAATTCAGATTTTCGCCGATGACACTATGATTTATATAAGTACTAAAAATATTCAGACTGGTATCTCTTATATAAATGAAGACTTGAAACTTGTCTCAAAATGGTTAGCATCTAACAGACTAAAATTAAATACAAGTAAAACGTATGCCTTGTTAATCGAAAAAAAACAATGTACACATGTGCAACTGAATATTGATGGTGAAGATATTGAATTCGTAGAAAATTTAAATACCTGGGGGTTTTTGTTGACTCGATTAATTTTTGATATTCATTATGAAATAGTTATAAATAAGATTAGTAGTTAAGTGTGATGTTTATCGAGAGTTTTCTGGATGTCTGAGTTCATATAGCAGAAAAAATATCTATAATATCATTCTTCCAAACTTCTTGTAATGTCCGACTATTCTATATTTAGCAAATAATTCCATTTTTGAAAGACTGCAAATTTTACAAAATAAGTGCATGAGAATAATACTAAATAAAGATAAATATACTCCAATTAGGCAAATGCTTAGCAAATTAAAATGGCTCAATGTAAATTTTTTTATCAAATATCTTGTAATGATATTCATTTATAAAGTAAAAAATAATATATTTCCATCAAGTCTAACTAATTTAACATCATCAAATGTCGACCATCATTTACATAATACCAGAAATAAAGATGACTTCCATTTAACAACCCAAAAGTATAACATATGCTACAAATCTGTATTCCATCAAGGGTTGATTGAATATAATAAATTATACTCGGAGATAAAAGACCAGAAAACTTTGACAAAATTTAAAGTAAAATTGAGAAATCACTTGTTAAATCTACAATTATAGGTTGCCCAGCATTTACATCATACATCATATGGCTTGAATTTACTAGTTCTAAGTTGTTTACAATTATTCTGTTTATGTAGCCAAATGTGCTAAATAAATCTTTCTACTACTACTATGGTTTTCCGTGCCGGCTGCGATGATATCAGAACTCACGCCCACGCCCAAATCATTTGCCACGTTTTTAAGCAAATCACCTCTATCTAAACGTCTGATCGCCTCAAGTTACTTTTTTTTTTTTGGTAATAACAACGCGTTACGTTTATTTCTATGCTGCTCCATCTTAGCGATTATGAACCTGAGTGAAACAAACATACACGCACACATACGAGTGAATTCCACAAACGCGCTTAGGGAATCACCGGCAACGAATCTAATGACGCAAACGCCGAAAGGGAAACTACCGGCGGATTTCCCGAACAACTTCGGTTAAAACGGAGAAGAATTATTGTATACGATATACGATCTATTTCGGATAAAGAGGATTTCGGATAATCGCGGTTCTACTGTACTTAATTGAACCTTTGAATCTATAAATAGTTGTTCGGATAACTTGAATATCAAAATAACGATTGCTTACCTGCTGGTGACCTCGCAGAACAGCCTCTCCAAATTTGGATGCAGACAGTGCACCAAAGAATGTCCATTCACAACTATGGCGAATATTTGATCATCGGCGTTCGGATCATCCGATAATGGAGGGGGCACTTCTTCGTCTCGATGCTGTTCCAGCTCAGTGCTTAGAGAAATTTGAATTTAGCGTCCACATAGTTTTATGAATAAGCGATAGCTCGATTCAAAAACTAAATTCACTAACACTGCGTTTTAGAAATTAAGCATGGCTGGGTTACGCGAAGAAATATTTTTATCTCACCAATCCAGAGCTGATTTTACGCACATTTCAACAAAGGGTCGCTGTATGTGGCTTAAAATGAAATTCATAGATGTGTTTTTCAAATTATTTTAGTTGGTTCATCTACTTGAAATCACATACTTATAATGTGGATATGTTCAGAGCTTTTACGTCCCTGACATCGGTGGAACCAAGAGAATACAGCAACTGAAAGTTTCTGCAACAACTGACATTCTAACGTAAACTAACTGATAGATGAAACTACTTAAATGCTAAAGGCATTTATATTTTCCATATTTGGTTAGTTGTAGAATAGATTGTGGTGTTAACTACAAATAATGGTGTTTGGAGAATATCTTCACAGTATATAATATTCCCAAATACCACATTCATATACAGGGTGTTAATTAAATATGTACCATAAATTTAACAGACGATTCTTTGTGTCATTTTAAGACAAAAAATTCATATAACATAGGGTGTTAAAATTAAAAAAAAAAAGGATTTTTACAAATATCTTAAATATCCTTTACCTAATTTTGTTGTCATTTGGCGGTGTTATTTATAACATTGATGAGCTAGTTTAGTCCTAAGTTGGTCAACTTTATCAAGGCCAGTGGCATCTCGAGCGGGATCTGAACGAATATTTGTGACAAAGAAATGTACGCTTCTGACTTTTGTGTTCTTGGGATTAAACAAATAGAAATACAACTTCATTGTAACTTTTTTTTGAAGAAAAAAAGTCCCATTAATTGCATATCCTTGGACCACAAAATGATAAGAAAAAAAATTTTCGAAAAAAAAAATGTTCTCCAATCCTTGCGTGATCCAGGGATATGCACATAAATGGACTTTTTTTTCTCGAAAACTAAGCAAGATACAAAAAAATCTAAAGATAAAAAAGTTATAAGGGTTTTTCATTAAGGAGATTGTCTTTTTAAATAAATCGCAAACAATTTGAGATATCTCGAAATTTTATTACTGGATTGAAATATACTCAAAACATTTATGTATTTCACATTCACACATTTCGACAGAAACGGCAGCTATCTCTCGTTCAAATGGCTCTGCGCTCCTCTAACGACACCGGCTTGTTGGCATAGAGCAATGATTTAATGTAGCCCCACAAAAAAAATTCTAGAGGTGTTAAATCACACGATCTAGGCGGCAATTCGACAGGACCATTTATCGATATAACACGTTCACCGAATTCTGATTTCAATATGTCGATTGTTTCACCCGCTGTGTGGCTTGTGGCACCGTCTTGTTGAAACCACATATCATGAATGTCTAGCACATCCAATGACCAAAAAATAACATGTCTCTGTAGCGATCTAACGTTGACTAACGTGACGGTCATTTTCACCAACGAAAAAAAAAATTACGGCCTAATAACACCACCGGCATGAACATCACATCATACAGTTTTTTGTGTGGATGAAGTGGAGTAACGCTTATTCTGTTGTTGATGAAGCACCGCCAAATTACAACAAAATTAGACAAAGGATATTTAAGACATTTACGAGAAAAAAAAATGTGAAATTTCAACACCCTGTAACTTGAGAACGAAGAATTTGCGGAACTACGCCTATAGTCAACGCCAAACAAATTGGCGTGCACGTCATCAAGGTGGGTGTGTTGAAAAATTTACATTGTTGCCAAACTTTTTGTAAAATAATAAAATTTATTATTTACATATCTAGGTTTATAAGCAATATTAACCTCAAATGAGAACAAAAATAATAGTATAATAAAATTATAGATCTGTACTTGCATAATCATTAAGTATGACAATTATTGATCAGATGACACTATGAAACTACCATATTTAATTGATAGCTTAAAGGTACTGAATAAAAATACAAATGGGGTCCTCCAAATTTTATGCATGGTATTTATTTTACAGAATTCATACAGAAAAATGCATTCTAAAATTAGGTAAGCTACTGGTGTAAGCTTTTTCTGTACAATAAAGTTAGTCGGAGTTTCTTTCTTCAGCGCTGTCTGAATCTGAATCTTCATCACTCTCAAAGTTGATTATTAAAGGTTCAATGTCTGGTCGATCAAAAATTCGTTCTCTTTCATACCATTTAAAATTTCTTGCTCAGTATGTCGAACACTATTTTTCCACATGTCCGGGGTAACCGTTTGTAGAGCCTCGTTCCACATATCCAAACAGTCTTTTTCACAGTTAGCATCTCTACCAATATGTCTGTTATAGTAACCTTTTGCTATGCCCCAAATTAACTCAATAGGGTTAAATATACAATGGTAAGGAGGCAGACGAAGAACTTTGTGCCCATGTTGTTCCGCCAATTCATCAATCACGTATATTTTAGGTGGTTTGTTTCTAAAAAAGCATTTATTTTAAGAATAAGAATAAACAAAAGAAATATAAACTGTCGACCAAAATATATATAATTAAGAAGCATTATATACCGAGCAACAATACTCAATAGCTCTGTTTTAAACATTGTGTTTAAAAATGGTATGTTTTGATTTGTCAACCAGTCTTGGATATTTTTTTTTGTCCATGCATTGTTGGGCACTTTGTTCAATATCATGCTGTGATAAGGGGCGTTATCCAGTATAATCATAGATGGACTCTCCAATTTTTTCTAATAACTGATGTTGAAACCATTTCAAAAAATTGTCCTGGTTCATCTCTCCATGATAATCGCTCAATTTTGTTTTCGAAGAAAATATCGCTTCACTACCCTCAATAAACCCATTTTCATTTCCAGCATGTAATATAATGTATCTAAAATATATTAGTTTTAAATTTATAGTGCAAATTGTGTAAAAGTACATACCTATTACCATCTGTTTTAATAGCTTTCACGCTTTTTTGGTTTCCATTTTGCCAAGAGCGACCTATGGTCCCATTTTGAAATATCCAAGTTTCATCGAGGAAGACAAACTGGTATAAGGCCTCAACCTTGGCTTGATTGTATTGCCTTAGAAATTCCACCCTTTTCAAAGCTATACTTGGTAGTTCCATGAGCCCTCGTCGCGGATTGTCCTTAAGCCACTTAAATCCAAGATCTCTAAGCAACCGCCTTAAAGACGTGGCACTACCATCAAATAATGCCCTATCTCTTAATCGAGACCATAAAGTTTGTATCGTAACTTGTTCTTCTGAAACCATGTGTAATATGACATTATAATTTACTTAACAAATTAATGCAAATTTCTGATAAGTTATTATAATAAGATCTTACTTTTGTGATACATATTATAGATCACTTCTCGAATGGCACTTGTATCCAATGTCGCTGTGTTGGTTACACGTTTAATATAACTCCGCTTTTTCTTGGGCGATTCTAAATTTGCATCACTTTCACACCCTCGGAAATACGACTAACTGTCCTTAAACTAATTTTTAAAGCAGCAGCAACACGCTACAAAAATGAAATAAAATTTCACTATTATTAATATACATTACATATAATTATTAGTAACCTACCTCTTGAACAGCATTTAAAGGCAACAAAGGCCCGTTGTTGTCCCTTTCTTGCTCAAAGTAGTGCATTAACGAGGCCACGAGTTCCTTACACCGACTATTTAACTGTTTGGGCATCTTTATATACCAAAATTGCCTTTATCTACTCGTAAAATGAATAATTTTGTTTTGAAACAAACAGTTGTTGATTTACAGTATGCGGGGCCAAAGGATTTATAAAGATTTGAAATGCCACAAATTGATTCAGTGTCAAAATTAATACAAATGTCAGTTCCCAGTTTAAATAAGTTTCAAGGTGACAATGTGTCAACGCTGCGAAACCGGTTTAGTGCGTTTACATGTCGATAAGTGATTGGAGCGTTTGCAAAACATTTTATTTCGCATAATGCGTCTAAATTTATCAGAAAGCAACTTATGTGATATTTTAATAACAATGTTTATATGACTATTAACCATAATAAGAGAGTAATAACCATTTTACAGTTTATATATCACATTAATATGAAACTGCAATAGAGCAATTGTTTGTGATAGAAACCTAGGCATTAGGTCGGGGAATTTTTATCGTGATGACGTGCACGCCACTTTGTTTGGCGTTGACTATATATGAACTTGTTGTCTTAAATTTACCTAAAGAATCGTCTGTTACATTAACACCCTGTAAAATGGGATTATAATGTTGTTAGACAGGAAAGTGCATCTCAACAACGCGCAACTACATCTAAGCTGAATCTAACATATTCTAACAGCGATTGTTAGTTACACTCTTTAGCGTTATATCGTTCATACACGACCTCTACCTTGCCCTCATATAACCCCATTCATCTTCGGAGTGTATATCATCGTCAGCCCACCTGTTGTTATAAACAAAATACATATTGAAATATTGACCAAAACATAAAAACGTCGCACATGAAAAATATTCAAAATGCGTGGATATAATTTACATGATAATTAACTAGGATAATATATATCTACAGGTTACAGGCTACAGATTGATGAAAATCATATGAAAAATTACTAGTTCGATGTGATTTCATGCGTTTACTGGAAGCAATGATTTCCAGTTTACCTAGCAGAATAAATAAATAAACTCAAATAAAACAAAATGTATGCTTATAGGAAAATGTTTAGATGAAAATACGAGTAATCATGAAAAAATGTCAACCGAATCATTTAAATATTTGTGCATATACAGTAATGGCCAAAATTATATAGACAAATATGAATATTTACCTAAATACCTTTAGAAAACGAATTCATACTTCATTGCTCCATAAACAAATGCGTTATTGGAAAAAAAATTCCTTGTTTTTACATTATCTGCAATGAACACAATACAAGTCTGAATATAAGCACTTTTTTATGAGGGACAAAATATGTAGACCAATTCTTTTCAATGTTAGTTTAGCACAGTTTCGTGTCAGAAGAGGATTATTTTGTGTTCATCAAGTATTGTGGAATAAGTTGAGTGATTTAAGACCATGCCGCGTGGCACAGAAATTTCTTTCGTTGTGAAAACTAAGATCATTGAGTTATACAAAGATGATCAACGTCAAGCCGACATTGCCAAAAATTTGAAGCTGAAGCGTAAAGCAGTTTGGGCAATATTGAACAAATATAAACAAAAAGGTATCTTGGAAGCTTGTAAGAGAAGTGGTCGGCCTAGAAAACTACATGTTAGATCAGTTAGATTAATAAAAGTAATTTCGTCCACAGATCCGTTTAAATCACCAAGACAAATAAAAGCTGAAATCGAGACGAAAGGAATTGTCAGTGGTTCTACGAAAACTATAAGTAGAAGATTAAATGATTTGAAGTTAATTGCACGTCGCCCCAGTAAGAAGCCGCTAATCTCGAGGAAAAACCGTAAGGACCGATTACAATTTGCACGGGAGTCTAATTAATTTATTTATGTATAAGAGAGTATTATGCTATAACGAATTATGTATACAGGTTGCTGTATTAATAAAACAAGTTAAAAAAGAAATAGAGCACAATATTGATTTGTCTATATACTTTGTCCATTACTGTACATACGTAGATAGTAAATTAAAATTTGAAGGGCACTATGGATATATTATTTCAAAACTATCCAAAGAGACAATACTTTTAGAGAATTTCGCATAGCCGAAGTGTTTATTCTTTATACAAATATATTCCTTTTGTGGTATATGCATTTCTTCACAACGTGTAATTGATGTGAATAAATTATTATTATTATAAAATTGTGCACAACACTATCATTCTTCCTCATTTGTTATACTGTTCGACTATTTTGTTAACTGCATACGAAACTGTATTTCCAAAATTACAAATATTACAACATAATGCTACCAGAATATACCAGAATAAATTGTATACTGGAAGAACTGCAATGGTTGAATATTAAACTTTCCTAACCTACTTGGTTTTCATTTTCAAGTTAAAAAATCATCTACCAAATCACTTGGAAAATTTTATTGAATCTAACAATGAGTAAGATAGTTATTCTTCTATAGGGAGTATAAACTTTTATTTACAAAATAAATTTTAAATAATGGTATTAAGATGTGTGCCAGATTGAAAATGTTTAAAGGGAAATTGAAAAAAAAATCACGGAAAACTAAAACTCATATAGTGAAATGTTGTATAAAAATACGTAGACCTGAAGATGGATATACTGTGTAACATTGTAATTGTAGCATTAATGCTAAATAAATCTACAAGAAACAAACAAATAATGATGGAAATGTGTTGATATCAATGGCTCGTTTTCGTGGGCCATCTTTATCAGTTTATTTTATAAATGCAATTTCAAAAAAGTGATAGGAACTATTTACAAGCGATGCATGATTTTTTAATTTATTTGGGGTGTTCTATTAGCCCCTATAAACCCCCACGTTTGCCTGGATAATGGAACCACAACCTCTCTGCAAATAATACTAATATAAAGAAGTGGAGCTAAAAATAGTAACCCGTTCAATTCACGGTGTAAACGAAAACAACAATGATACATTTCTATGACATCAAATGAAAGTTCGTACCCTCTTTATTGTCATCCATATTCAGCTGTTCAAATATTTTTAATACGCAATACAACGGATGATATACAATCTGTCAAATTTTGCCGTTAAAAATTAGTATCGAACGGTAAACCTCAGTCTGTTTAAAATAGGTAATAATTTTTATTCTTTTTTGATACTTCGTTTTTTCAGATTTTGTCAGGTTTTCACATAGATAAGCCACCGTGCTTCTGACACTTTAAAAGAGTCAGACGAAGGTACTTTGCCATGACATGTCAGTTCCGCTTGCTGACACCTCTGCCAGGGCGTGGCTAAGGCCCGTATCGTCAGTCGTCCCTACAATTGTAGGGCGCCTTTATGGCCTCCTTGATTGTCATAGTTTTCTACATCTCCGTGTCAGAACTCTATTTTGAGGTTATGTCACAAACATCTATTTGCATCAAATTGTGCTTGCTTTTGAGTTATATCATGTTTTATCGGCCTGAAATTTCCTACAATTTAAAAAGAAAACATATCTTCACAATAGGAGAGCGCTGACGCTGATACGGGACAAGTGTAATCTAGAAATTTTTGAAGGAGAGAAAGGAGTATGACAATCAAGGAGGCCATAAACCCGCCCTACAATAAATTGTAGGGACGACTGACGATACGGGCCTTAGTCTTTTAGTACTGATTACACTGGCCAACACTGGTTTTGCCACACGAACTTTGACAGCTAATTTTGTTTTATCAGTCTACCCTCATTATTACATGACAGCTGTCATATGTCTATTAGCCTCATATTTGTTGTGATACGGTAATACTCAACTAGTACTACGGCAGTAAATTAACAGAAACGCTTACAAGTAAATCCTTATAAAATATTTGTGTTGAATTT